CTTTATTCTTTCACCTGATTCCACACCCTTACGATCTATTTCCACACACATTTTTCCAGTTTTATGTCCCTGGCAACTGTTTTGATGTCACATCGCACCTCTTCGTGGGTCAGATTTTGTACCTCACCCTTTGTATTCTACTGAGATATGGGTCTAGTTATGGGTCTTAGAAGCAAGAAGAGATAACAGGAATAGGTCCTGAGAAGGCTCTGCAGGGTCTTCCCAGGCAACTACCTTAAGGAAGGCGTGATAGTTTCTTTTTTTTAATTTTTTTTTTCTTTATTGATTTTAGGGAAAGAGAGATAGAAACATCGATGAGAGAGAACATCGACTGGCTGCCTCCTGCATGCCCCCCACTGGGGATCAGGCCCACAACCTGGGCATGTGCCCTGACCGGGAATCGAACCAGCAACGTCTTTGTGCATGGGTCAATGCTCAACCACTGAGCCACACTGGCCGGGCCTTGATAGTTTCTTTAAGCAAGAGGAGACCAGCCTCCTCAGACAGGGGTGTGGGCTGCTTCTATGAACAAAGAAGATTCAGCAGAATTGAGAGGGTTGAGGTCCCCAGGCTTATTAGAATCTGCTCATACGTCCTCATTCCAACGTTCAGGATCCTATTCCTTCTCAAACAACACCACAGCTTTAACGAAACAGACCCTGTGAGGTTAGAAGTTGCGTTTGTGTTGTAACCCAGCCACCCCCAGGATCTGACTTCGGGCGGGTCTGCAGAGCTCAGCCTCGTGGCTGTGGAGAATCCGTGTCTTTCAGCACAGCCACGGAACCGTTCACGTCCCTTATGCAGACCTTGAGCTGGAACTTTAAAGCTCTGAGCTTGCCATTTTCTTTCCCCAAGTTTTCACCACAGTTAGAAGTAACTAACCAACCCCATTACACTCTTTATTTTCACGAACATGTTCCGTGGAAGCAAATACTTGGTCACCCAGAGCCTTGCCTACTATAGGAGCCCATACAGGGAACTATGGGTAATGATCTGAATAACTGTTTTCCCACTTCAGTTCATGAACGATCAGTGTCCCCTTTACTACTGGAAACAGGGTCATTAATGACTTTATTAATTAATTAATTTTTTTATTGTTGACAGTTTTACAGATGTCCCCCTTTTCTCCCCATTAACCCCCTCCTTCCCACTCTCACCCTCCTCCTGACTTCCTTAGCCTAGTGTCCATGTCTATTGCTTGTGCATATATGTATATAAATTCTCTGGTTTATATCTTCTCACCCATCCCACCTCCCCGTCCCTTTGAGGTTTGTTAGTCTGTTCCCTACTTCCATGATTCTTGATCTCTTTTGGTCGACAGCTTATTTTGTTCATTATGTTCCACAAATAAGTGAGATCATGTGATACTTGTCTTTCTCTGACTGGCTTATTTCACTTTGCATAATACTTTCCAGGGTCCCTCCATGTCGTCTCAAAGGATAAGAGATCTCTTTCTTATAGCTGCATAGTATTCCATTGTGTAAATGTATCACAGCTTTTTTATCAACTCATCTACTGATGGTCACTTGGGCTGTTTCCAGATTGTAGCTATTGTAAATAGTGCTGCTATGAACATGGGGGTACAGATATTCTTTCTGATTGGTGTTTTGGGATTCTTAGGATATATTCCCAGAAGTGGGATCACTGGGTCAAATTTTTAATTTTTAATTTTTTGAGGAAACACCATATTGTTTTCCATAGTGGCTGCACCAGTCGGCATTCCCACCAGCAGTACTAGAGTCCCCTTTTCTCCACACCCTCACTAGCACTTGTTGTTTGATGATTTGTTGATGGCGGCCATTCTGACAGGTGTGAGGTGATATCTCATAGTTGTTTTAATTTGCATCTCTCTGATGATTAGTGATGTTGAGCATTTTTTCATACATCTCCTGGCCATTTGCATGTCCTGTTTGCAGAAGTGTCTATTCAGGTCCCCTGCCCATTTTTTAATTTGATTGTTTGTCTTCCTTTTGTTGAGTTGTATGAGTACTTTATATATTTTGGATGTTAACTCCTTATCCGATGTGCAAATATGTTCTCCCAGAGAATGGGTTATCTTTTCATTTAGGGTCATTAATGACTTTAAATCCAATTAGATCAGGGAACCAATTCCAGAAGAACTCATCCTTAAGATTCTATTCTTCTGGTACCACTCTGAGACCAAATTCTGGGTCAGCAAAGCGCGCGCGCGCACACACACACACACACACACACACACACACACAATTTGTTACAGGAATTTGACCTTTCGCCACTGTGGGAGCTGGTTAAGCTGTCTCTGTGAGGCTGTACTCTGTGCTCAGGCTAGAACTTGAAATCTACAGGGCAGGCAGGCAGGCAGGAGGGGAAGATGATCTAAGGTTGGGGAGATCCAGAGCAATCTGGAACCCACAAACCCATGAATATGGACTGAACCCCATGTTATTCTTTTTGCCTTTGACCTTGGCGGTGCAGGTGTCCTGCTGAAGCCAGGGCCCCTCACGACAGGGCTATGCACACACCTGGCTCAGGAGTCGGAGAAACTGCAGGACGATCCAGGGGTAGGTACAGCGGCTGCAGGCCTCGCTGCTGCCTGTGTGTAAGCCCCAGAAGGCTGCTGCCCCAACCGCTACCCAGCAAATCCCCCACGAGAACATCTCCATGGCCCTCCCTAACCACAAGCACACAAACATATGGGAAGGAGAGTTCTGGAAAATGTAGTTTAACCTAGACAAGTACAAAGCCAACTCAGATGGTTCAAATCCTGTTTAATGTCCCACCAGCAGGAGCAGAAGCACATTGACTAACCAATCTCCATAGAAGCAAACACACCAAGCATTGGAGGTCCCTCCCAGCACCCCGAGAAAAGCACAACCTAGCTTCACATGAGTAATCAGACTCCTTTCAGTGGGTGTCATTTGGCCTTAATTCTTCCAGAATAAGAACTCTGTCCGTGTTGTGCTCGGGAGGCTGGCTGCATTACAGGAGCCGCTCCATTAGCTCTTGGCAAGAACCTCTCCCCTGATGTAAGAGTAAAGGAGGAGGCTTCAGTTCAGACACTTCACAACAGAAAAGGTGTGTCTTTTGCCAGAAGGGGTTTGGGCAGCAGATGACCGTCTTTGGGAAGCTTTGGGGCACTATTGGAGAGATTTCTGGATGTCTTCTCCAAGTCTGAGATTCAGTGTTCTGTCCCCTACAGGTCTCAACAGGCTCCACTGTTGTTTTCTCTGATGGTATTCAGGATGCCCTGTACTCGGCTAGAAGATGATACTTCCCAGCTTCCTTTTGCAGATAGAGGTGGCCAATCAGAAGCAAGCAGAAGTCTTTGGGAGGGGAGCTTAGAAACTCTCTTTAAAAGGAGCTGACTCACCTAGTGGTTCCTTTCTCCCATCTTTTTCTTTAAAATGTATTAATTTTTGGAGAGAGAGAAACATCAATTTATTTTTCCACTTATCTATGCATTTATTGGTTGCTTCTTGTATGTTCCCTGACCAGAGATTGAACCTGCAACCATGGGGTATTGGGATGACATTCTAACTTACTGAGCTACCCAGCCAGGGCCCACCTTTGTATGCTTTCTTTTTTTTTTTCTTTTAATCCTCACCCAAGGATATTTTTACATTTATCTTCAGACAGAGTAGGAGGGAGGGAGAGAGAGAAACATTGATGTAAAGAGACAGATTATTTGGTTACCACACACACCACCCAAACCGGGGCTGGGGATGAATCGCAACTGAGGCACATGCCCTTGACCGGAATCGAACCTGGGACTCTTTGGTCTGCAGGCCAGTGCTCTAACCACTGAGAAAACCGGCCAGAGCTCCACCTTTTTCTTTTTCTTTTCTTTTCCCTGGAATATGGCATTGTTTCTGGGAAAATTGGAATGTCCCTTTTTCCACCGAGTGCTGGGGGTGGAGTCCTTATGCTATGTCGAAAAATAATTTTCTAAGACTCTCACAGAATCTCAGAGTGACTTTTATTTGTGTGGAAGTACATCCCTGGGTTTCCAAAGTCCCATTTCCCTCAGTTTAGATATAGAAGAAGTGCAGCTGGGGTTTCAGCAGAGCTAGAAGCAAAGCCAGTGTCCAGAGTTTCCATTCCATGTTGCAGCCGGGTCCAGTTCAGCATCAGGCTAGTTACAGTCCATTAGTCCATTGTTGGGGGAGGGGATCCTCATTGCCCACAGTGAATACAGGAAGCAGGAGCAAAAAGCCCTGCGAGCCAGGAGTCAGGCACAACAGGCCACAAGCAACCAAGAGAGCGAACTCCTTTGTTTAGGGGATTAAATATCCCAAATGGCGCACCCTTGCAGTGGCCATGCCCATTCTGCCCAATGACCTGTTCCTAGGTGTGACTGGCAGGCAAGTACCTTCCCAATGTCACCCCGACTTTACTGGGCATGCGTCTATTCTCCCCCCTGTCCAGCCCCTTCCCCCAGCGGTCTGCGTGGGAATAGACCCGTGACTCCGTGGGCAGTGTAAAGATTTAGCTTCCTGGCTAAGCTACCCAAATGACATGCCTATAATATTCGGCCTTCTCTTTGCTCCTTTCCTGTTATTAATAACTAGTTCATTACAACAGTATCAACAAGATGGCTGAGGCTTCTGCAGCCACTTCTTGACCTTGAGGAGCAGAGCCACAGGCTAAGGATGACAGAGCAGTAAGTCATGAGAAATCTGGTCCCTTATGATATCAAGGGGCCCCTTCCCCAGCCTTGGACTACACACTTCAGAGTTCTGTCAGGTGAGAGAGAACTAAGTCATCTTCTTTAAGCCCCTGTTGTTTCCGGCTGAAGGCTCCTGCAGTTGAGTACAGTTTCTGCTTCGAATTCCCTTTGTGGCGAGAGGCACTCTGTTCACCAATATCCAGAAAATGGTAGTTTCCTGCCCTCCTGAACTCAAATAGGGCCCTGTGGTTTGCTTCGGCCAATGAAACGTGAGCAGAAATGCTGTGTGTCCCTTCCTGGCAGAGGCTACAAGCGCCAGTGTGTGTCTGACCTCATTCTGTTCTCTTTTTGCCAGTGATGACCAGAAATGTCTCTGATAGCGGCTCCTGCGTCCATTTACGTTGCCACACTGCTCCCAGCTGACCCACGATGAACAAGCAGTGTAAGTAAGAAACACATTTTTGTTGTTGTAAACCGCTGCGCTTTGGAGATCGTTTATTACTGGCAGTTTTAAGCAAAGAAGGGTTGGTTTGATACAGAGAATCAGGGGCTGACGAGCTCTTTGGAAAAGCTGGTAGTGGCGTGGGCTCTAGGCTACGAGTCAGCAAATGATTCCCGGAACAGGACCGCCAGGACCCTCACTCCTCCCGCGTCTCTCCTTTGCTCTCACACACACACTCGCAACGCTTCTGATGGCAAATGTGCGGGGGTTGTTCCCCACACCCAGCAATTCTCTGTGACAGCAGCTGGGGGGTCTTATGACTCAATTCAATCTGACGCTACCTGTGGAGTCAGTGCGGACCCGCAGGCTACGGGCTCGGTCCCACAGGACTGCCCCCCACCACTTCAGAGACCAATTTCTGCGAGGTCCCCAAGTTACCCACAACTTCTGTCCAACTCGGCTACAAATTGGAGGTTCCCATGACTCCCCCCCCACCTTGGATTTGACGATTTGCTGGAACAGCTCAGAGAACCAGGGAAACACATTTACCAGTTTATTCTATAGCAATGATTATGATAAAAGGTACAGATGCCCTTGACCTGCCCTGGGAGCTGCCAGGTAGTCTCCTGCGCTGGTGAACCTTCAAGTCCAGGCTGTGCTCCAGCCGTGACACACGAGATGGTTTTAGGCCCCACAAAATACTAAGTCACGTTGAATTCCATCATAAGAGAGTGTATCACTTTTGAATATCTTTTAATCCACCACATGATATGAGGGAGGGAGGCTCTGTGTTGTAAAGAATTAATCTTACCCAAAGGGAGGTCTGACTTTTGCCCTCAGCTCCTGGAAGGTAAGGAAGACCCTGGAATGTCCTGCCTTTAAAGAGTGTCTTTGTTTACCTGGGAGCCTTTGCCCACCCCAAATAGTTTCTTTTTTTTAATCCTCACTCGAGGATATTTTTCTATTGATTTTCCGATGGAGTGGGAGGGAGGGAAGGAGAAAAAGAGACAGAGAGAAACATCGATGTGAGAGACACATTGACCGGCCGCCTCCTGCACGAGCCCAACCAGGGCTGGGGCCTGGGCTAGGGATCGAACTGCAACTGAGGTACATGCTCTTGACTGGAATCAAACCCACAACTCTTTGGTCTGTGGGCCAATGCTCTAACCACTAAGCAAGCCAGCCAGGGCAATATCCAAATAGTTTCGTTTTGTTTCTTTTTTTTTTCATCCTCACTCGATTTTGCATTTCAGATAGAGCTGGAGGAAAAGAGGGAGGAAGAGAGAGAGAAACATCGATGTGAGAGAGACACATCGACTGGCTGCCACCCACACGCCCTCAATCGCGGCCGGGGACAAACCGAGGTACGTACCCTTAGCGGGAACCAAACCCAGGACTCTCTGGTCCGTGGGCCGACGCTCTAACCGCTGACCCAAACCGGCCAGGGCTGTCCAAATAGTTTCTAACACTGGGATTGATGGTGGGGTCTTTGGGCCACAGGTACCAGCTTAACCTCCAAAGGGGCTGGAAACTAAGGTGACCGTGTGGGTGGTCAGTGATGTCTTTGGGACTGAGTTCCCGTAAAAGCTCTGGACACCCAGGCTTGCAGGAGCTTCCCTGGTCAGCAGCACTTTGAGCATGTTGTCACACACCATTGCCAGAAGGTAGCACAGTCCACGGTCCCACTGGGAGAGGGCAACTGGGAGCCTTGTGCTTGGAACTTCCCCGATCTCTGCCCACATGTCTCTTTCCTCGGCGAATTCCCATCTGTTTCTTCGCTGTAATAAACTGTAACTGTGGATTCTCTCTTTGTCTTGAACCTTTTGCATTTTGATGATGATGTGTCTTGGTGTGGGCCTCTTGAGGTTCATCTTGTTTGGGACTCTCTGTGCTTCCTGGACTTGTATGTCTGTTTCCTTCACCAAGTTGGGAAAGTTTTCTGCCATATTGTTTCAAACAGGTTTTCGATTTCTTGTTCTCGCTCTCCTTCTGGCACCCCCAAGATGCGAATGTTGGCACGCTTGAAGTTGTCCCAGAGGCTCCTTACACTGTCCTCATTTTTTTGGATTCTTTTTTCTTTTTGCTGTTCTGATTGGGCATTTTTTGCTTCCTTATATTCCAAATCGATGGTTTGCTCCTTGGATTTACATACTCTATTATTGAAGCTGTGTAAATTATTCTTTATTTCAGTTAATGCCTCCTTCAATTCTGACTGTGCATCCATAATTTCTGACTGGTCCTTTTTTATGCTCTTGAGGCCCTCACTAAGTTCACTGAGGTTCTCACTAAGTTCATTGAGTATCCTTATAAGCAGTATTTTGAACTCAGCATCTGTTAGGTTGCTTATCTCCATTTCGCTTAGTTTTTTTCCTGGGGTTTTGTTCTGTTCTTTCATTTGGGACCTGTTTCTTTGTCTCCTCATTTTGGCTGCCTCCCTGTGTTTGTTTCTGTGTATTACTTAATGAGAGGTATGGGGCTAGCTGAGACCAGATGCTGCTTGTTTGAAAGAAATTAGGAAAACCTGAAGCAGGTTCCAAGACAGGCCAATCCTATGGTTAAGCAAGTGGCAACAGCTTGGGTGGGCCTGAGAGTTGGGTGGGGTGGGGCGGGGCCTCAGGGAGTCAGCGGGGCGGGGCTACCAGTGTGAGCCAGGTTGCTGGAGTCCCAGATATGGCGGCTGTCTGCCGCTCCAGGGAAGGGCTCACCAGAGGAACAAAGGCCTCTGACAGCACGTTTGTCCCCGAGGAAGCCCCCTCTCCAGCCCTCGCTCCAGTGCCAAACAGCTCAGTTCTTCCCTGTATGTCTCTGGTGCCCCTCGAGCAGCCTCCCCTCCGAGCTTAGAGGGAGAGAGTCCGATAAGTCCGTGCGCGGGCCCTTTAAAGAGCTGCCTGGGGCTCCAGCCGCTTCAGCTTCCCTGAGCCTCAGTTCCCGCTGGTTTTTCCAGCCAGAAGTTATGGGGATTTTCTTCCTGGCACTAGAACCCTGAGCGGGGCACCTGGTGTGGGACGGGGACCCCTCAGTCCTCAGGAAGGACCTTTCCAGCCGAGGTGTCCTCCTGATTTTTATCCACCACCCGTGGGTGTGGGCCCAGCCCATCCGCCTCCGCCCCTCCTACCAGTCTGGATGTGGCTGCTGCTTTAATTCTGTAGTTGTAGGACTTCCATTCAGCTCGATTTCAGGCGGTTTTGAATGATGGTTGTTCTGTAGTTTAGTTGTAACTTTGATGTGGTTGTGGGAGGACGCGATACCGCGTTTACCTACGCCGCCATCTTGACCGGAAGTCCGCGATTGTAATTTTTAAAACGAATGTATTCATGTTAAAAAGAGAGTTGACCATATACATGCGTCTGTGTGTGTATATATATATATACATATATATAATATACATTATATGTGTGTGTATATGTATATATATATGAATGATATTCCCTCCTGATTGGTTAGGTGTCTATTCTGATTAGCAGGTGGTGGGTGCCAATCAAAAATATTTTTAGGCCGGGCCGGTGTGGCTCAGTGCTTGAGCATCAACCCATGCACCAAGAGGTCGCCAGTTCGATCCCAGTCAGGGCATATGCCCAGGTTGTGGGCCTAATTCCCAGTCGGGGGCATGCAGGAGGCAGCCAATCGATGTTCCCTCTCATCATTGTTTCTATCTCTCCCTCCCTCTCTCTCTAAAATCAATAAAAATATATTTTTTAAAAATATATATATATATTTTTAGTATTCTCCCTACATGTATATAACATGTATATCTCATACAATGTCCTTCACATATATAATATACATATATTATTTATAATTTATGTGTATATAATGCAGAATGTATGTCATATATTTATAATGCATATCACATATAACGTATGTGTTTGTTTTCATTAGATTTATCTTTCTGAGAATGTTCTATTTATATAAAGCAGTACTGGTTTTTCCATACATAATGGTATCTTTTAAAATAAATTTATTTTACAGGGAGTTGATTTCTTAAAATCAAAGTAAATAATAATATAGGTAGGATGAAATTGTGGCACAAATTGAGAAGAGGATATAGATAGTTATATTATGGGTACACTGATATTTTCTTTTGTATCTTATTCTTCTTCTCTTTTGTTTTTTCAGGCTACTCACAGTCCACTAAACTGATTTCGTAATCCATGAAAAGGCTGTGACCTGAAGTTTGTGAAATATTGTTATGCAACCACCTGTGAACAGAACCTTGCCTTTTACTCTGGCATGGTGACCCTTAAACCTGGGTAGAGACCGCTGCCTGGAGCCCTGTGCTCAGGGGTCTGCTCTGGCCGGGCCCCACCTCACAGGCTGCAGAGTCCGAGCGCCTTCAGGAAGGTCCCCTGGAGCCTGTGCTCTTCTTGACCGCGCCCTGGGTCCAGACTGCTCGGAGCCCATCCAGGCCTGCACTGTCCTCTCGTGGGCACTCCCTTCGATGAGAGGCAGCCCAATCTGGGCTTAGTGATGTGGACGGAGCTCAGAAGCGCAGGCTGGGCGTGCCCCTGTGTGAGGTCCACACTCGTGTGTGCGTGCTGGAGGGGCCCAGAGTGTGAAGAAAAGGGGGCCGTGGGCCCGGCCCTCCACTGTGCCAGCCCAGTTACCAAGGCTACCTCCCAATTTAGGGGTGAGCTGACACTGCACACCGAGCTCTGCGCACAGACCAGGCCAGGGGTCTCAAGTCATGGGCAGAACCCAGCACTGACCAGAGCCTCTGCGGCCCGCCCCAGTCCTTCCCACTTCACCCCGGGCCGGCTTCAGTCACTGTATCCCTTGCCGTGGTGTTTGAGTGTGACCCCCTCCCTTCAGTCCTCAGGGAGTTTGTCACCAGCCCCTGCCACTTTCTTCCACCCCCAGTTAAGAAGGATCACAGATCACGAGACAAGGATTACAGTGCTTTACTTTTTTTCTCAACAGAATGGTAGTGGGGGGGGGCAGTGCCTGAGAAGCTGGGCAACCCTCAGGGCTGGCAGAGTTGAGAAGGTAGGGGGCTCAGGCGTCAGCCTGGCTCTGGCTCCATCCAGTGTCTTCCCTCTCAGGCTGGGCCTTATGGGCTACTGCGTAGGTTCTGCAAGGGGAGGGAGGAGGCGGGCCTGGTGAGCTGGTGGCGGCTGGGTCATCAGCCCCCACTTCTGATGGGCTCACCTGTTATAATTCCGGCATAATCGAGGCAACTGTCTACACTTGCCACCTGTGGGTGAAGAAAAGGATCCAATCACAAGTTAGAAGAATCTTGGTTTCTGTGTGTGCACTTTGCCATTTTTTTTTTGTTCAGGTAGAGTGGGAGGGAGAGAGAGGAACAGAGAGAGAGAGAAACATCGATGTGAAAGGGACACATCGAGTGGCTGCCACCCGCACGACTGACCAGAGCCGGGGACAAACTGCAACCGAGGTACATGCCCTTAGCGGGAACCGAACCCGGGTCTCTCAGGACCGCAGGCCGATGCTCTAACCGCTGAGCCAAACCGGCCAGGGTTGTGTGCACTTTGGATGCTGGAGGACCAGGCTTATCGACCTTGTTCTCAGGAACAAGGCAACTCTGAGCAAGTGATGAGAAGCAGACAAGAGAAGAGCTGGTGCAGGGCCCAAGAGGATCTTCCCACACACACGGAGGAGCACTTTGGAAACCTTCTTAACTTGTGAGTTATTCATTCGATCCACAAACATTTACTGTGCACCTACTACATGCCAGGCACTGATCCAGGCTCTGGGGACACAGCCAGGGACAAGAATGACTAAATCCTTGCTCTATTAGAGCTGACTTCCTAGTAGGAGAGACTAGCAATAGATCAAAAACCTAGCCCTGACCGGGTGGCTCAGTTAATTGGGACATCATCCCATGCACCAAAAAATGGCAGGTTGGGCTCCTGGTCAGGGCACATAACTAGGTTGCAGGTTCAATCCCCAGTTGGGGTGCATATGAGAGGCAACCGATCTTTCTCACATCAACGTCTCTCTCTTTTTCTCCCTTCCTCCCTCTCTCTTTAAAATCAATTTTCAAAAAAATTATATTCTTGTGTGAGAATTAAAAAAAAGAAAAACTAAGTCAAATATGCAGATGATGGTAAGTCAGATGGATGAGTGCAATAAAGAAAAAGCCAGGGAGGAGGCAGAAGATCTTAAGGAAGAGATGGAGGAGCCATGTGGACATCTAGAGGAAGGGTATTCCACACAGAGTGAACAGTCAGTGCCAAGGCCCTGGGGTAGGAAGGAACAGATGGGCTTAAGGAGCAGCAGGGAGGCCAGAAGGTGGACCACAGGGAATGAGAGAGGATTTAGAAGACAAAGGGGACTCCTGGCCACCACCCTTGCCTCCCCGATCCCTTGCCTCTTGTCAGTCATTGCCACATGGCCAGCTCATTACTGCGTCCAGGGCTCCTTCCTCTACCTGTTTGGGTTTTTTTGTGGTTTTTTGTTGTTGTTGTTGTTAATCCTCACCAGATACTTTTTTATTCCCATTGATTTTTAGATAGAGTGGAAGGAAGGGAAGGAAGGAAGGTATGCAGGAGGCAGCCAATCGATGTTCTCTCTCATCTATGTTTCTATCTCTCTCTCTCTCTCTCTCTCTCTCTCTCTCTCTCTAAAATCAATTTAAAAAAAAAGAAAAAAAAGATGGGGCTGTGCCCATTTTCCTCATGAGAAAGCTGGACCAGAGAGGTAATGAAACTTACTGAGAGCTTACAAACTGGTGGCCTTCTTGTTTTATTTAGAATGTGGCATTTTTAAAACGTTTTAAAATTTCTCTCTGCTTGTTCGTCTCCCTCTGCTCCCTTCCCCATGTGATGCTGGGCCCTGGGAGCTGGCTGACCTGAGAGGCCACAGTCCCAGCCCCTCACCCTCTACTTGAGCACTGACAGGAGAGAGCAGGGCAGGAAGAGAGAGAGGTTTATGTATCTGATCCCTCCATCCTGCTCCCTCCTGGCTGGGTTACAGTGACACAGTGGCTACAAACCTCTCTGCCAGTTCCATCTCTCACCCTCAGGCCAGCATAATCACAGCTCCCCATTGCCACTAGTCCTGGAGACTGTACCCCATAACCAAGTCGGTGCCTCCAGGACCCTGGCCCTGTTACAGAGCCTGGAGACACTGGTTATAAAACATTTTAAACATCACCTCTTCCCCCATGCCAAAAATACCAGAGGATTAAAAAAAAAAGTCAATGCCCCCCCCCCGACCTGCCCCTCTGGCCCTGAGAAGTGTCCCTGCCACCACCATGTGAACAAGCCCAGGCCAATGAGGTAAAGAACCAAGGTGCCCACAGAAACAGCTCACTGCTGACCTGCAGCTGAGCCCAGATGCATGAATAAATCCAGCTGCAACCAGAAGAACCACCCAGCTGAGCCCAGCCTACATTTCCAAATAGCAGAACCAAGAAGCTAAGGAGATGGTTGCCATTTTAAGCCACTGAATTCTGTGGTGGTTCATATGACTATGAAACTAGAAGACATGCCTCAGTTAGAATCACTTTGCCCAGGGGCCTTCATGAACCTAAGCCCCCACCCAGAGTCAGAGTGCAAGCCAAGGCCTCCGCCCTCCCAGTCTCGGTGCCCCTCCCGCCCAACACCCATTCTCACTGGTGAGGATGATAATGCCTGTGATGAAGAGCACAGCTGCGACCACCAGCCCGTGTTTCCGGAGAGTGTCCTCATCTGCAGAGAGAACAGTGGTGGAGTATGCTCAGGGGGGCTTCACCCCTCCTCTCCCTGCATCTTCCCTGGGCAACTTACCATAGAAGAAGGGGTTGTCCTCACTTGAATCTGCAGGGGACAGACAGGGAGCAAATTGAAGTTCAGCAAAGGTTTGTGGAGTGAATCAGTGATTGACAGCGTCAGGGAGAGGGGACACCTGTGTCTCAGCACTGGTGCACTTAGAACACAATCCAAAGTCCTCATGGGCATACAGTCTGGCCCCCATCACCTCTCTACCTTCACCTCCTCACTCTCCCCTCGTCATTTGCTCCAGCCTTGCCCATGACCTGCTGGACCACCTCGGGGCCTTGGCACTGGCTGCTCCCTCTGCCCAGAACACCCCCACCCCCACCCCCCGATCTCCTCATGGCTTCCCCTTCAACTCTTCCTCAGAAAGGCCTTCCTGGCCCTTTACAGAAATACTCCCCAGTCACTCTCTCAGCTTAACCCTGTTTTATTTTTCTTGATAGCAACTTTACAACCACATGACATATAATTAATATGGTTATTATTTATTGTCTCTCTCCCCCCACTAAAATGTCTGCTCCACGAAGGCAGAGATTTTCGTTGACTTGTTCACTGCTGAATCCCTGGCACCTAGAACAGTGCCTGGCACATAGGTAGGTGCTCAATGAATATTTCTTTAATGAATGAATGAGATGCATGAGCATAGCATTTCCATCTGTTCATTGGGGTTGGCCGGACAGGAAGAGGAAGGTGAAGAGGAAGGTGGAAGCACAGGGGAGGAATCATCGTGCCTCTAGCAACGGAGCTCCTTGCTGGCCCCCAGAATGCTCTCGGATGCATAAACCCAGATCGGAGCAGAAGAACCACCCAGTTGAGCCCAGACCAAACTTCCAAATTGCAGACTCAAGTTTAGTTCTCAAGAACTAAACAAATGGTGGTCATTTTTGGAGTCACTGCGTTTTGGGGTGGCTTACATGCGACATTCATTGACGTATTCATGCATCTGTTTACTGGTGTCTACTCTTCGCCCACCCCCTGCCAGCCTTGAAGTTGTGTATTCACCATGTTTACTGAGGACTACTCTGTGCTGGGCAGTATTCCAGGTGCTAAAAATACACAGTGAGTAGGAAACGGCCTGTTTCCAACCTGCGGAGTTACTGACCAGTGGGCTCGAAGGGAAGGTCTCTCCAGGAGTCTTTGTCTGGAGACCGCTTGGAGAGTGTGGTGGCTTTAATGGGATCAGCAGACGGTGAGTGGCCAGAAGCTGGTGGAGGGCAGGAGCGAGCCATGGAGAGAAACAAGGGGCATCTCTGAACATCTGTGTTTGTGAGAAAGCCCTCTCCCACACCTACACATGCAGCGGCAGGAGCTGGGTCCCCCACTCTGACCCTTGAAGCCAGGGTGAACATATTGAAACAAGCCCGCACCCCTGGTTAAGACCAGTTGCTCCAACCTCCCGACCCCTCTCCCGGGACCTTGTGCACTGCCTCCGAATCCAGGGAGCAAAGGGTAATAGCCATCATAACCAGGCCGGTGCGCCCAGGACCCTGGCCCTGTTACAGAGCCTGGAGACACTGGTTATAAAACGTTTTGAATAGCACCTCTTCCCCCATGCCAAACATACCAGAGGGTTAAAATTTAAAAAATCAATGTCCCCCCGCCAAGACCTGCCCCTCTGGCCCTGAGAAGTGTCCCCAGTGAAGTGGCTACTGCCGGTCTGATGTCCCAATGTGAAGTCATCAGGTAGAAAAGCTGCTTCATGCACCCTGAGCTCCCCCAGCCAATCTCAGCTCCTCACCTCCAAAACAGAACCACCGGCAAGGATTCCGACATGTTTCAATAGCGGGGACAGAGGCAGAGATCACAGAAAGTGTCAAGGACAGCCTGGGGGGCACGTGGTGCTCAGGCCCCATAGCACTAACGAGCCCGGGCTCAAATTCTAGTTCTGCCACTTAGGGCTGTGGTCTAGGGCCAGCCAGGTAACCTCTCCGGGCCTCAGTTCCTTCCCTGCGAAATGGGATCAAGACAGTTCCTGCCACATAGGGAGGCTGTGAGCACTGAGTGAACACATGAGGGCTTAGCAGTGTCCAGCACTGAGCGGACTCTCCGCAAATGTTGGCTGTTATCCCCTCTTTGGCCCTCACTCCTCCATCCTTCTGGGACCGGCTTCCTCTTCCTTGGGTTGAGGTGTGGGGGCTGCTCAGGCGTCCCTCCTGCCTTGCTCTCCTATTGTAACCCAGGCCACAAGGGGGAGCACGTGACCCGTCTCGCCTTTCCCTGGGACCTTGCAAATCCCCAGCAGGATTCCGAGAGGAAGCCAGGTGAGGCTTGGGAAGCTCTGAGCAGGCAGGGACAGGAGTCATTTCCTTGCAGAAGACACGCTTCAGCCCAAGAAACATAAAAATGGAGGGAGAGAGGCGCTGGGGGCGTTTGCGCTCTTGCGCTGGGTGACCCTGAGGCTCAGCAAGGCCTTTTACCGCTTGGCAGCCCAACTGAACTTCTGTCGCACGTAACCGGGAGAAGGGGACAATGCACAGTGACTCGCTCGGAGCAAGTGAGCGGGAGACAGGAAGATGTTTTTTTTCAGTTGGAAAAGTGTGGACAGAGTTGCTATACTCCCAACCCCCACTTGGGACGTTCCCTTCCCCCGAAACCCTTTATTTCCATCTGCCCTAATTAAACTTGTTTTCATAGACAGATTCCGTCAGAATGCCGTCTTTTACTGCCATCCCTGGAAAATTGTAACAATGATCAGCACTGTTACAGGGAATGGATGGCCCTAGAGGCAGTGGGTGCTCTTCCACAGGGCTGGTCTGCTCTCTGGGGTGTATCTCAGCCCGGAGTGGCCCACGCTACAGTACTTTCCAGTAGGGGCCGCTCCTCGAAGATGGAGCATCAGCAGGCATGAGAAGCCACCTTTATCTAGGCTCAGCCCCCTTTCCCACACCTCTGGTCACATTAGCTAGTCGCTGGTCTTCGGGGGAACCACCTGTTCCCTGACTCTTGGTCTGTGCAGCTCCAGTGGAGCTGATGGGGCTCTCCAGCCCCAGGATAGGGGCATAAGGCTCAAGCCTGACCAATCAGAGCAGTCCTTTTCCCAGGTTCCCATTGGTCACACATGGGCATGTGAAAGTCGATTGGGCCAATGAAAGTCAATTCTAGACCTCAGCGGCAGATGATGAGAAAGAGATGCTCCAGCTGCTGAGTTTGTGTCCTAAATTTACAACTATGGGACCATCCTTGCCACCAAGAGGGGGAAAAGCCACTTGAAAATGAAGACAACACAGAGAAGGAGCAAGTCTGTCATGATGACTTGAGCCCCTTGATCCAGCCATGCCTGAAATTGGTCCCTCTGGATTTTATAGAACATATACAGACAATAACTTTTTTTTTTTTTAGTTGGGTCTTCTGTATTTTGCAATTGAAAATCTTCTGCTCTAACAAGAAGACATACACAAGGGAAACACCCACAGTCACATTTCCCGGGAAGGAACCTGAACCAAAGAGGGTCCAACCGGGCCGGTGTGGCTCAGTGGTTGAGCTTCGACCCATGCACCAAGAGGTCCCTGGTTCGATTCCTGGTCAGGGCACATGCCCAGGTTGTGGGCCCAATCCCCAGCAGGGGGCATGCAGGAGGCAACCAATCAATGTTCTCTTTCGTCGATGTCTCTCTCTCTCTCTCTCTCTCTCTCTAATCAATAAAGAAAGAAGAGGGTCTGGAGCCTATTAGGCTTGAAAAGTGTTGCAAACTAGACAGCCCTCTTGGGGACACTTGCTGCAAATAAGGTTTGTGAAGACTCTGAAAAACACTGCAGAAAGAAACGTGTTCAACTTTCTCAGAATTTTACAAACACCTTTGGCCGCAAGCCAAAAACAATTTTGGGAGGATGTATTCACAACTTCCCGAAGGGGCGTTCTGAGAAACATCCTTGGGGAAATGCTGACCTAGACAGAGAATTAAACAAAACTTGTCCGTTGCTGTTTCAGTACGAGGCTGTACCTTCTGTGGGGCGCTTGTCCATCCCAGGATCTGTGGTTGGAAACACAACCACTCCCTCCGTTTGCTGCGTCTGGCTGGCTGTCTGGGTCCCTGTGGCTTCTACTGAGGTCAGAGAGGCAAGGAGGGGAGGGTAAGACATGAATGAATCGGGGGCATGGATCCATAGAACAGCAAGGGGCCCTCCCCCCACCCACCCCCAGTGGGCCGGCGCGAATCAAAGGCGTTCACAAGCAGAGGGGTGCTGTGGGAGTGGGCAAGGGGGACCCAGGCTGCTGGTGGCGGGCAAATTGGTGCAACCATTTCCAAGTGGCTTTGAAAAAATATGCTGCAGTTCATGTCCTTGGTCCCATAGTGTTGTGAGCAAAAGCAGGGCTCTAGAGCTAGGTTCTTGTGCCCTAATCCCATCTGTGGCTCTGACATGCTGTGACACCTTGGGCGAGTTACTCTGAGCTTCCATGTCCCCTCTGGAAGGTGGGGGTGATGATCATTTCTACTTCAGAGGGTTTGTGTGAGGACTGCATGAGTGAACAAGGTAAAGTATTTAGAATCAAGCCAACACGTAAGTGCTGTGTTTGATCAAGGAGGAAGGAACGAGGTTGCTCATTGTGGCACCGTGTGTAGCAGAAAACACTGGAAGTGCCCAGCCAGAGTGGCTCAGTGGTTGAGCGTTGACCCAGGCACCAAGAGGTCGCCGGTTCAATTCCCCATCAGGGCACATACCCAGGTTGTGGGCCCGATCCCCAGTGGGGGGCATGTAGGAGGTGCCAATGGAGGTTCTCTCTCATCAATATTTCTCTCTCTCCTTCTTCTTTCCTCTCTAACATCAATAAAAAAAAGGGGGGGGGGGAGCACCCTGGCCAGTTTGGCTCAGCAGTTAGAGTGTCAGCCTGCGGACCAATGAGTCATGGGTTCAGTTCTAGCCAAGGGCACATATCTCGGTTGCAGGTCGTCCCCGGCCCTGGTCACCGTCGTGCAGGAGGCAACCAGTCGATATGTCTCTCTCACATCGATGTTTCTCTCTCTTGCCCTTTCTCTCCCTCTCTCTCTCTCTCACTCCCACTTTATCTGAAGATAAATAGAAAAATACCCTTAGGTGAGGATTAAAAATAAATAAATAAATAGAAAAAACTGGAAGGACCAAGGTGCTCACCAAGATGTGTATAGATGCACTAACTGTGCACACTCACTCTGTGGAGAACACAGCAGTGAAAAGGACAAGATCGTTGTCTCTATGAAAATGTGGGAAGAACTTTTAAACATAGTTCATGGGCGAAAAGAGCCAGGTGCAGAACAACAATCATATAACATCCTTAAGCTCATACAATATACCTCCCAGTCAGCTATGTTCTCCAGGTCACACACACGGGATACAGTCGCACTGGGGAACTACCCCTGACCCAATGCCTCCCAGCGATAGGGGGAGAACAAGGATGGCAAATGAACAAAGGGATTTCGTCTTCCCTACCACATTTTTTTTAAATCCTCACCTGAGGATATTTATACATTAATCTTCAGATAGAGCTGGAGGGAGGGAAGGAGGAAGAGAGAGAGAGAGAAACATCGATGTGAGAGAGACACATCAATTGGTTGTCACCCACACGACCCCAACCGGGGCAGGGATGAACCACAACCGAGGTACGTGCCCTTGGCTGGAATCAAACCCGGGACTCTTTGGTCCACGGACGACGCTCTTACTACTGAGCCAAACCTGCCAGGGTTCCCCTACCACATTTTGATTACTTCCAAGTAGGATGTGTTTATGTACTACTGTATCATTAAACATTAATGGAAAAAATTGAGGGGCACTTTTCGAATTATGCTAGATGCCAAGAAAAAGTTAAAAGTTGATTTGAAAATTCAAAAAAGGAAAAAGAGCCCTGGCCGGTTGGCTCAGCGGTTAGAGCGTCGGCCTGCGGTCCAGAGAGACCCAGGTTCGGTTCCCGCTGAGGGCACGTACCTCGGTTGTAGTTTGTCCCCGGCCGGCCCTGGTTGGTTGTGCGGGTGGCGACCACTCGATGTGTCGCTTTCATGTTGATGTTTCTCTCTCTCTCTCTTCCTCTCTCCCTCCCACTCTATCTGAACAAAAAATGGAAAAATGTCCTCAGGTGAGGATACAAAAAAAAACAAAAACAAAAAAGGAAAAAGATAAAGAGATGAAAGAAAGAAGTGAGTGGGGTTGGCACATGGGAGTTTCTGGGGTGTTTTCAAAGCTCTAGTCCTTACCTGGTGGTGGTTACACAGGGGTTTATTCAGAATAATCTGCTAAGTTGTACATTTATGATTTTTGTACTTTTCTATATGCATGTTATTTTTCACAATTCCAAAGGAGATATATATATATATATATATATATATATATATATATATATTTTTTTTTTTTTTTTTTTTTTTTAATCCTCACCCGAGGACATTTTTCCAATTTTTGGTCAGATAGAGTGGGAGGGAGAGAGGAAGAGAGAGAGAGAGAAACATCGATGTGAAAGGAACACATCGAGTGGCTGCCACCTGCATGATCCAACCAGGGCCGGGGACAAACTGCAACCGAGGTACGCGCCCTTAGCGGGAACCGAACCGGGGTCTCTCCGGACTGCAGGCCGACGCTCTAACTGCTGAGCCAAACCGGCCAGGGCCAAAAGATATTTTTAAACAAATGAATGGAGTTTGCTGGCTGTCCCACCACAAATTAAACCAGGGGATTCAGAGCTGGGGGGTGGAAATGGGTAAACAAAGACCCAAAGTGTCAGAGGAAAAGGGGAAATAATGTCGGCCCCGGGCCCGTGTTCCCCCACACTGCTGCCCCACTCACCACCAGGCTGCAGGTTTGAAGTCTGGGGGGTGGACTGGAGTTCTGGGAGAACTGCTTCTGAAGTGCAGAAACAGGGAGAAAAGAGAGAGAAGATGTGGAGAAGGTCCATGAATGGAGTACAGGGGCGTTTCCATAGCAACTCCATCTTGATGTCATGTAAATAACTTCATTAACCCAGCCATTTCCTCACTGCCTAAATGCAATGCCAGCATCTTCCCTGCCTCAGGCCCTGCCCTCCCACAGATGCCCATTCCCCTTCTCAGCATCCACCCGCCTCTGGTAAGAGCCTGGAACCTTTGGGGAACCAGCCTTCCCCAACTTTCAGTCTACTTAGTTCCGTGGGGTTGGCACCAACCCTGCTGGAGGCCGAACATGAGACCCAGGTCTGACTAATTAGCTTTCTGTGCCTGTGGCCACAATAATCAGCTCACAGGTGGGCATGTGACCCGAGCCTGGTCAGTGATACTCAGTTCTGAGACATTTGCTGCATCGGGGAAGAAAATTCTCTTCCTCCAGATTCTTAGCAGGTAAGACGGAAGCCCCAGGTATCTAAACACCATCTCGGCCCATAAGAGGAGCATCTGACGATGAAGCCAACACAGAGAAAACAGAACCAAGAGATAAAGACAGGCTCCTGATAGCATCATTTGAGAACCTAGATCAAGCCATGCCTGAAGGTCTATCCCTGGACTTTCCAGTTAGACAGATTCAAAAAGTCCTGTTTGGCCCGGCTTGAGATTTCTGTTGCCGTTGTTATTTGCAGCGACAGGGCCTCACCAGACCTGTCCCTCCTTCCTCACCTGGAGTTGGCGTCAGGGCCTGAATGTCCACAGTGGTTGGGTCTGCTAGAGAAGTGAGTGTGGTCTCCTCCAATGTCTGTCCTGAGAAATCCAGAATTAGGAGCCAGGGAGGTGCCTCTGGTCCTCCTCTCGCCAACACCCCCACTCTGCCCTCCCTTCTGAAACCTTGGGGGCTAACTCAGTAGGTCCTTCTGCAGACAGCTGTTTGATGGCTCACCTTTGATGGTGTCCATACATGATCCTGGAAATGTTTTAAGAAATGCTAATGCCTCAACACCCTTGCTCCAGCCCCCTCTCCCGGCCCATCCCTGTGGGATGGAGAGATGGCTTAGCCCAGGCGCTAGAGTCAACCAGGGCCCTGATCTCAAATTCTGTTCTCAAAAATCTCCTAGCTGTGTGACCTGGGGCAAGGAAAGACCCCACTCTGAGACTCAGTTGCCTCAACTGCCAAGTGGGGATAACCGAATATACTTCTCAGGCCTGTAGAGAGAGTGAAATTAGATGGAGGGGGGAAGAGTCTCCCCGGCTGCTTAACATGCAGTCTGTGCTAGACACAGCCACTGCCTGCCCCTGGCACGCTCCCATCGCCTCCCTCCTGGACATCACAGTCACCTCCTCCTCGGTCTCCTGCGCCCGTCCCGCCCACACGGTGTGCTCCCCAAACCCAGCAGAGGAGGGAGCTGGGAACACCTGAAGCAGATCACGGCCCTGCTGACTCAGAGCCTCCCCTGGCTGCACCTTTCACCTGATAAAAGCTAGAATCCTCACCTTGCCCATAAGTGCCCCCTCCACCTGGTCCCCATCGCCCCTCTAACCTCTCCTGTTCCCACCCTGCCCCTTGTTCACCCCAACCAGCCACCTGCCTGCCCGCTGCTCCTCACACTCATCAGACTCACCCCCAGGTACCTGCTTGGCTCATTCCTTCATCTCCTTCAAGTGTCTGCCCAAATGTCACCTAGTATTTCCCTGCCCACCTTACTCAAACCATCCTCATTCCTGGCCTCTGTTTTTCTCCACAACCTGAATCACCTTCTAACATACTGTATAATTTACTGGTGGCTTCTTTATTTTCTGTCTTTCCCAAACGGAGTGCGAGCTCCTATTTTAGACACGGCTGTTTCCACAGTCCATGGAATACGATCTGGCACATAGTAGCTGCTCAACAAACACTTGATGAACGACTGAAGGAACACATGAAACCATTGCACCCGAGAGAACGGTGGCAGTCAGTGGAGCGTGCGCTCTGGGTTCTGGGGGGCAGGCAGGACGCTAGATCCCAGCCCCTCCACTAGCCTCTGTCACAGGCACTTCCCTTCACTGAGCCTATTTCCTCATCGTAAAACAGGCAGGGCACGTGTTTGACATGATCGGTACAGCTGGGCCAAGGCCAGCTCCTGCACACCGCCACTTAGCGAGCACCTGCCAATGCCGCCGCCGCTACCGCCTTCAGGAAGCGCTTCCCGCGCAAAGGGGAGACATGGCCAGCCCGGGGCCTGCCGCCGCCCCTGGCCCAGCCGCATCACCGGGGAGCCGGGGAGCCATCTGCTAGGAGCCCAGCGTTCCTGGCTGCCGAGGAGAAAACCGACACCGATCTCCTCTCCAAATCCAACTCAGTTCTATGGGAAGTGAAATGGAGGCTGCTCAGCAGGACAGGCTCTGGCCGGACTTAGAAGCAGCCACCCAAGTCTAAGGTGTCCAACAAGAATGTACTCTTGGCCGTTTCACTGAGAGCCCCCCACCCGCTTCCTGGTGCCGCCTCAGGAGGGGGTGAGGACACAGGGCAGGGCATCCAAACTCACTAGCCGCCCACCCAGCACTGCACTCGAGGTCGGGCTGGGGGCTCTGAGGGAGACAGGAGCTGGGCCTTACCTCTGGTAGGGAGAATCAGGCCCACAATGGTGAGGAGGTACAGGTGACCAGAGGGCGACATCTATGGGGTGAGCAGGAACTGGGGTCAGCCAGGATGTCAGTGAGGCTGGCCCAGGGCAGACCCCAGGCATCCCTTCGGCCCCCTTCCCCAGACTGAGCAGCTACCTCTGGCTTCAAGGACCCTGTACCAGGGCTAACAGGAGAGTTTCAGAAGGGGGGTCCCCAGCAGGCACCTCCTTCTTCCCTTTGCAGGTCCCCAAAGAAAACAAGACACATCAGACCAAACGGGGCTTCCAGTAGCAGCCACTGGACATGGACAATCCCTGAGGCAGAGATGTGCCCACCCAGGCTGACCCTGCTGGGCACCCAGAGGGGTCTGGGGCTCAGGGTTAGGCCCCGGGACCTCTTCCCTCCCTCTGGGGCTGCCCCCCAGGGGAGGAGTCAGCAAGGAAGAGGAAGAGCGAGTAACGTGCTCCTGATGTCAGGGGAAAGTGAGCGGTGTCAGGACCTCCCTGCAGTGCCGATGAGCAGGATGCTGGGCACATCTGGGAAGGACTGGTCGGAGGGGGTGGAGGAGAGGGGAGAGACTGAGGCAGGAGGGGGAGGAGCAGGGCAGCCCGCGATCTGTAAGGCGGAGCAGGCCGGAGAAGTGAGCATGAATGGGGGCTCAGAGGGTCCGCCGTCTTGACTCACCTGGGCCCGGGCCCTGGGCAGAGGGGAGAGGCGGAGGAGGGTCGTTGGAGGGACTTACGTCGGAGCTGGGGGTCCCGAGCCGGCAGCCGGTGGAGAGCGGCAGGGCCGCAGCTGCGTCCAGGCGGAGGGTGTGGCCAGGGGAGCCCTGCGGGCGGCGGGCGGGGACCCAGACCGGCTCAGTCATTTCCTCTTGGGCTTCCTGGCTTCAGATCCCCGGGTGTGAGCGAGCGTGGGGAGCCGCTCAGGGTGATGGGCAGGGGGCAGGGGTGAGGAGCCGGGCAGTGGCCTCCACCCACCGAGCCAGGGGCAGGCGGGGCTGGTTGGGTGGGGCTCCTCCGGGGAGGGGCGGGGAAGGGGGGGTCTCTGAGGGTCTCGAGAGGAAGGACAGGGCCACAGCCGAGGACTAGTTGAGGGAGGGGAAGGGAGACCCAGGGGCTCCTAGTAAGACAAAGAGGCCACTGGGGAAAGGGAAGGAGGAGGGACGACTCTGGAGACTTGGGCGACAGCTCCCCCAGGTTGTTCTGCCCCTCCCCTGTTTTGTCCCCACAGATGAGAACACACAGACAGAACAGGGGGAAAAACCAAATGCACATTTATTAAGCTCGAGACATAGACACCGAGGGTGCAGGGGAGCAGATCTTTGGAGAGGAGACGAGGAGGTGCAGGGGGGCTGTACACGGGGACTCTGGGGGGCTGGGGGTGGACGCTGGGACTCCAGGAACTGATGACCTGAGTCCCTGGGTCTGGGATGCAGATGGGCTCTTTGGGGGGTTGTCATTGCCAAGGCCTGGGGAGGGGCAGCAGGGTGCAGCGGCTGTAGGCTGTGGCCTCGGGTGGGTGGGGCGGCTCATTCCGGGGAGCGCTCCCTACGGCGCAAGGCTGGGGTCCCCACCGCCTCCACCCGGTCCTCAGGCTCCCACACTCAGTCAGGGACAGCAGTGGAGGTGCTGGAGGCTGGTTCTACACGCCACCACCTCCTGGGGCTGGAGAGAGAGGGAGACACTAGGTCAGCGACTAGAGGGGTGGCAGCATCCCTCTCCCCAGAGCCAGTGAGCCCCCCATCCCACCATGGATTCCAGACCCCCAAGGACAGACACCCTTGTGTTAGCACTGGGGAGTTGTCTTGCCTCCCGACTCCCTAATGTGTGGTCCATCTAGGAACACCTGCGTGTCTTTGTTCTGCCCCGTAGGACACTGTCATAGTGGGGAACGCACCTGTGAGAAGGCTGAGACGCCCCCCTGCCAACCCCGCCCAGCTTGGGCTTTTCTGGGGCTGCCCCCTGCCGGAAAGCTTGTCTCCATCTCCCTCCTGGCTCCAGCCTCCTGCTGCACTCGGGGTTCCCGCACCCAGCCTCCGGAACCCTGGGACTCAACAGGAACTGGCCTGTTTCCCACCCACTCAGGACCATCACTCAACTGTGGTGGGTCCGAACCCTGTACATATTCCTAGACCTGCCCCAGGTGTCAGGGCCACTCTCCCCAGTCACCCACAAAGTGTCCCTTAATGTTTTTAAGTCTTATTAAAAGAACATGAAACAGTCCAGCCAGTGTGGCCCAGTGGTTGAACATGGACCCATTCAGGGCACATGTCCAGGTTGTGGGCGTGATCCCCAGGGGGGGCATGCAGGAGGCAGCCAACTGATGCTCTTTCTCGTTGATGTTTCTATCTCTCTCTCCCTCTCACTTCCTCTTTTTCTAAAATTAATAAAAGAAAAAAATTTAAAAAAGAACAGCCTGGCTGATGTGGCTCAGTGGTTGAGCGTCGACCCATGCACCAAGAGGTTGCCAGTTGGATTCCCGGTCAGGGCACATGCCCAGGTTATGGGCCCAACCCCCAGTGGGGGACATGCAGGAGGTGGCCAATCGATGTTCTCTCTCATTGATGTTTCTATCTCTCTCTCCCTCTCCCTTCCTCTCTCTGAAATCAATAAAGAAAAAAAAATTTTTTTTAAAAGAACATGAAACAAAACACATGAAATCCCCCCTAGTCCTCCCAAATACTGAGTGCTCCAAAGCCCCCTTTTTTTTAGTTACAAGAACTTCATGAGGCAGAGACAGTCCCATCTGACTTTTGTAAACGTCCCTGGCGAGGACACAGTTCCACTAAAATCAGGTCAAGATATTTTTACATAATTAAGATTAACACCCCAAGGAATCAAAATCTTTCATCTACATGCTTATCCCCTCCTACAGCCTACATCTCTCTCCATCTTCCTTTACACCTTCTATCCACCTGCACCCACTGCCCCCTCCTACACCCCCTTCTCTTTTACCCCACTCCCCTATACACCCAGCCTTCCTATAGCCCGTCCCTCCCCCACCGCCATCCCCTCATCCTCACCCTCTCCGGCACTGCCCGCACACCCTCATCCCCTTTCGGATACTTCCCATCCTTTCATCCTCACACTCCTTCCATCCCTTTTAAATACCTGTATTCTATACATCTCTCCTTTTGTTACTTTGATACCATTATTCAGAAGCCCTTTCTTCCTTCACCCCTTTCTCCCTCCCTCCTTTCCTCTCTCCTTCCTTTTTCTAGGTCATTTCATCCTACAGCTTCCAAATTGAACACTTGAGTCTGGAAAACATCTGTCTTTCTACTTGTCTTCATCCCGACTGCCTGAGTGCCTTTCCCCTGCCGGGCCCCTGTCTTCCCAGGCCACGGCCTTCTGTTCCGGAGGATTACTTTGTCCTCGTGCGCTTGTTTCTGGGAAGCTTAGTGGCCCCTAGGACATTGCACACCCCGCTGACTGTCCCTGGTTTAACATTTTCATCTGCGGGATCTCAGCTCCTACTGAACTGCCCAGGTCCGTCCATTGGGTTGGTGGCCCCATGCTTAGGAATATCAGTGCAACTCCCCTTTCAATGACCCCCTTTTCTGTTTTAACCACCCCCCCTTCTCCCAGAACCACACACGGTCTCAGCCTCACCTGAGGAGGGCAGCTCCGACTTACAGGACTTGCACGTTGGGCTGTGGAAGCAAACATAAGGAGAAAAGCATAAAGGGTGTGAGACGTATTGAGAAGATCACTTAGGAATTTATGTCGTGTCTAATTCATTTTTTTACAAAGAGGCTCAATAGCCACAGGCTTTATGTGAAGCCCAAGGCAGGCGCTGGGCCCTTCTGCCCCCACCCTCTCCCCCTCTCTCCCAGGGCAGCCAGACCTCTCCGACCTGGAGTCCGCCTTCCTGCACTTCACCTTCTTGCCTGTTAGGAGAGACAGACAGAACAAGAAGGACATAAGGGTCTGGTCAGCAGCCAGCAGGGGAACGCGAGGTGCCCGGGCCTGACCCGAGGCTGCCCTCTTGGAGGGGTTTTAGATCCCAGGAAAGGGTCCCACTTACTGATGATGATGAGGATGCCCAGCAGAAACAATATGGTAGCCAGAGTCATGCCCACGGTCTGCACAGTGGCATAGTCTGGGGGAGACAAGGGGGGACATCAAGCTGGGGTGGCACCTCAGCCCCACCCCCTCCAGCATGGCTTCAGATTGCCCAGCCAGGGGCCCACAATTCAGGGATGCTGCAGGCTGGGCTGGCGGCTCCCCCAGTCGGTTAGTGTGAGGATGAGGATCATAGCTCCCCTTGTCCTCTCTCTCCCTTACTCCCTCTTCTAGAGTCTGCAGCCATATATATACATGACCTCCTTCTACTGCCTCCTCCCCAGTCCTGTCCACCACTGTCGCCCTTCTGGGACTGCCACAGCCAGCAACCTTCTCTATGGTCTCCCTCCCCCCACCCCCAGCCACAGGGATCCTGTTAACACCTGAGTCAGATCAGGGTCCTCCTCAGCTCAAAGCTGCCCCTCCAAGTAAAAGCCAAAGTCCTCCCCACATCCCACAAGGCCCTGTAAGATCTAGTCTCTCTTCCTTCTCAGTCTTCACCCCACTCCACTTCCCTTAAACCCCTAACCCTGGCCACACTGGTCTCCCTGCTATCCCTGGAGCATACCAAGCATGGTCCTGCCTCAGGGTCTTTGCACTTGCTGTTCCTCCACCTGAGAGATCGTCCCCCAAATAGCCCTCCCTTAGGAACTGCTGGGCTTTGTTCAAATGTCAGTGAAACCTGCTCTAGCTGCCCTGTTCAGAATTCCCCATCCTCTCCTCAACACTTTCTAATCTCATTCTTTCCTTTCTTGTCCTACGTAAGAATTATTCTTGTCTAATTATACCATAGTAAATACTTTTTGAAACATTAATTTATAGAGCACCCACTCTGTACCAGCAGGCCTCTGCCCTCAGGGAGTTGACTTTATTATTGTGATCAAGCATTAAACAAAATAAAGCAAAGCCCAGCCGATGTGGCTCAGTGGTTGAGCACCAAGAGGTCACCGGTTCGATTCCCAGTCAGAGCACATGCCCAGGTTATGGGCCAAACACCCAGTGGGGGGCATGCAGGAGGCAGCCTATCAATGTTCTCTCTCGTCAATGTTTCTGTCTCCCTCTCCTTTCCTCTTTCTCTAAAATCAAAAAGAAAAAAAAAATTAAAAACAAACGAAATAAAGGAAACAATGGAGTCACGTGACCCTGTATTTGTGGTTCTCTCTCGCCTGGGATTCGGGGAGGGCCTTCCCTGGCAGAGCAGTTGCTACCTGATAAGAGGCCTGGAGAAAGCAAAGGAGACTTCACCTGCTGCGTGAAGAGCTGGAGGAGGAGGATTTCTGTCAGAGGAAGAGCAAGTGCAAAGGCCCTGAGGTGGGAAAGCATGTGGTGTGTTGGAGGAACAGAATGAGGGAGCCAAGGCAGAGGGCAGGAGGGTGTTTAGAGAGGGAACCCAGGCCAGGTCGGCTAGACCTGGAGATAACACCTTTGAGCTTCCATGTTGTGGGAATAATTTAATGGCATCATCCAAGTAAATCTTTCTCACAGTCCTCATAGGTGGGAACTATTACTTTCCCTTATTTACGGAAGGACCCAGCAAGGCCAAGTCGCTTGCTCAAGGCAACACAGCTAGTGAGTGGGTAAACCAGACTCCAGTTCAGGCCATTGCTACTCTGGTGGCCCCAGAGTCCTGGTGCCGCCTGAAGGGGGCCCAGAGAAGGTGTCCCCCAATCTGATTCTGCCCTCTACGAACCCAGCTCGTGGGAACTGGGTCCACGTGGTCACCTGGCGGGTGGCCCAGCATATATCAGCCACAACAGAAGTCACTGCAGCAGCGACCCTGGGGATCTACAGGCACCCCTCCATCCAGCCCCCGGTGCCCTCACCACGGAATCTGCCACTCACCATAGAAAAATGGGTCAGGTTCCTGAGGAACTGTAGGAAGGAAGGCAGAGAGAGAAAGAGGGAAAAAAAAGATTTCAACACTGGGTTTCTTAACATTGATGAGGATCCAGATGAGGCCAGGGGCGCAATGGTTTCTGTGTGGAAATCAGATGAACAGACCCCTTGCTCTGGGGGATAGAGATTCACGGCAGGACGCAAGACTGGAGGAGGGGAGCACAGGATGGATTGCAGCCCCCACTTCATCCGTCGGTTGGTACCTTCCCTTGTACATACCGGGCGCACAACCTACCAGGTGCACAACCTACCAACCGTACATGGCAGTCCCGTCCTCGCCCCCTGTGGAGGTCTTTTGCAAATTATGGACTCATTTCTTGCAAGCACAGGGTGCTGAGGTGAGAGACTCCAGTGTCACTGCTGAGCGTCAGCTTCCTCTGCACACAACCGAAAGCCTCAGTCATCTGAGCCCCAGAGGCGGGCGCTGCAGCTACTGCGCTCACCCACTTGCTTCTGCCACCAAACCCAGCACAGGGAGCTGTCCTGCAGCACGCCCCTTACCATGCTGCATAGAACGCATTCCGTATTCCTTGTTTCTCAGGCACTACCGATGTTAAGATTCCTAACCGGTGTTGTAATGGCTTTCCCAGTGTGTGTGTTCTGCATGAATATGTATGAAACATACCCATCTATAAGCTTACTCACCCTGATTCCATACATGTTAATGTATGGATAAAATAGGTAGTGTTTGTGGATTTAGTTTTCCCCCGTCTCCAACCTCCCTGTGCCAAACCATATTCCCCTTCAGGAGAGTTCAGAACACCCTTCATAAGAACCCATCCTGATGGCTCCCAAATTCCGCCGACAGCCCTTAGTACAGCCTGCCTGGTCTGGAGCAGAAGTCTGGGGCACCACTCGAGCGGGTGTCCCAGCAATGCCAGGGTTGCCAGCAGTGTTCTTCCCCTTCCAGGCTCAGGGAGAAACGGCTGCCTTGAGGTGGGGGAAGGGGGCAGCTGACTAATTCTGACCAATGAACTCTAAGTGGAAATGTCATCGTCACTTCCAGGCTGGAGCGTTTAAGAGCCCTTCCAAGAGCTCCCTTTTCACTTTGGCCTGGTGACATGAATATGCAAGACGCTAACTGCTCCAGTTTTCATTGGCGAATAGAGGTCCCTGTGACCTGTGATTGATGGATAGTGTAAGAGAAATAAAGCTTGGTTGTCAGAAGCCACTGAGATTTTCGGTACGATTTGTTACCCCTCGGCGCTCTAGCCTAAACTGACTGATACAGGCGGCACCGAGGGAAGGCCCCGAACAGCGCCGCCTCCCACAAGGTGCGAGTTCACCCTTCCCCGTTCTCTGTTCAGTCTTCGAAGAGGGAGTCTTAGGTAGGTACCGAGGAGTCTTGAACATCAACCCTTATTCATCTCCCCCCTTTCCTCAAGAGAACACAGGCCTTGGGCTCAGAGTGTTCAGCGGGTGACAATCTCTAAGTGGAATTTTGTGACATTATTTGGTTTCCTCCCTTATTTATCATCCAGTCAGCACTTGATGGCACTGACTCCGGGCCAGGCTCCCTTCTAAGCACTTTACAGACAGTAACGCAGTCCGTTTTCTCAGCAGCTCTTTGCTCTGGGTGCTGTCGTCACCCTCGTCCCACAGGAGGGGGACACAGGCCCAGAGAAGTGAAGTCCCTTGTTTAAGATCGTGTGTATATTTGCCTTCAATTTAAGGCAAAAACAATAATAATCCTGAGTTTCCATTTCTGGTGGTGATAGGAAGCTAATTGAGTTTTTTAAAAGTTAGCCCTTCGAAGAAAAAATATTAAATAAATAGCACTGTAGGAAATATTGGGTTAGGGGGGAAATCATGAAGGTGGTACTAAAAGCGTCAGGATGGGAGAAGTTATTTCAGCGTGATCTCTGCTCTCAGTCCCCCCACCAGATGGGGAGTAGATTTGTCTGACTCATCTCTGCTGCTAATCCTGGAACTTATCAGAGTCTCTCAAAGAAGCGTGGAAGGAAGGAAGGAAGGAAGGAAGGAAGGAAGGAAGGAAGGAAGGAAGGAAGGAAGGAAGGAAGGAAGGGCTCCTTTTGGGCTGCAGAACACTAGATGTACACAGTTAAATCATCCTGCTTTTGTCTCCTGTGTTTCCACATTCCCTCCCTACCCAAACCATCAGGAGCCCACTGGTGAGCACCTGTCCCAGAATCCTCTTTGGTTCCTCACTGGCTGCTCTCTGCTCCATTGGGAAGTTCTTCTGGTCCCTGCTACCCCAGCAATCTGGGTCCTCAGAGGGAGGCTGGGCTAAGGGTGGAGACAGGAGGCAGGAGAAGGAATGTGCACCGCGCCTGGCCAGTTGCCAGAGACACGAGGAGGTGGCTGCTATGGCAACTGGGGCATCTTGAGAGGTGAGGAGAGGTGATGGGTTCAGGCATCTCAGACTGGGTGGGGTCCTGTGGGAGGCTTAGGGGTTGGGTTTCTAACTCGGGGGGCCAATCTTGACTCCCTCTGCGCCCTCTGTACCTCCCTTTGTTGCACCTGCAGGGCTGGCTTCTGGCCAAGCTAGGGTCCTTCTCAGGAATAAGAGACCCAGGCCCAGAGGGTCTCCTTCATTCCCTGTTTGCTTCCCAACTCTCCCTCCTGCTCAGTGACAGGTTGGGGAGAGACTTCACCTATCTCTCCCCACTCTGCACCCCAACAACCCATTATTTAGTTTCCTTAGCAGTTTGCAAGTCACAGTGTGCTTTTCCGTCCCCCAGGATTTCCCAAGACCCGTGGTCCCCTCTCATGCTGTGACTGGGGGAAAAGTGTGGGGGAGGGGGGGCCGAGGCATCTGTCCTCCCACCTCGGCAGGCCGCCTGCTGTCATCGATCTGCTAACCGTCTCCACAAAAAGAAGCCCTGGGCTCCCGCCAGGCCTGCTGGCTCAGCCCAGCCCCCTCTCCCTAGGGTGGTTTCCAGCCTCTGCAGCCCCCCCACGCCCGCCCTGCTTCCAATTCTGCAGATATGGCTCAGTGCAGCAGCCCCTGCCGGCTGGGAAAGGGGGCAGGGAAAGAGGGATCCGAGTGCACCGGGGCTTCCTCAGCACCGCTAGCCTTATCCCCTGGCCCTGCTCTCTGCCCCCCGCCCTCAGTGAAACCATTCTTCCCCTTGCTCCTCTGGAGAAGCAGGCTCAGGAATGGAGGTGCTTAGGAGAGAGCGTGTTTAAGTGGGTGCTTATAACTGGGTTAATGGGTGTGAAATGCAAATCGCTGTGGTGGGGAGGAGCAACTGTGTGCACCCAAGTGCACCCCCTCCCAGACAACCCCCTGAATGAGGGCTGGAAAGGAGGGTCCTCTCACCCATTCCTGCCCGGGGGCCCACTGCAGTGGTTCAGCCCCACCCTGGGTTGCCCTCCTCTCTCTATTCCTCTCTGGCGCTCTGGGTTTCTCTCGCTCATCTCCTCTGTCTTTCCCTACGCCTCCCTCTCCACAGTTGCCTCATTCCTTCTCTCTCTTTCTGTCTCTGATTTTCTCTCTTTCTCTGCATCTCTGTCTGTTGCTCTCTGCCTCTCCCCTGCACTCCCCCTGAATCTCTGAGTCTCTTATCTGTCTTTCACTCTGGGTCTCTGGGTCTCTGACTCTGGGTCTCCTGTCTCCCTTGGTCTCTTTTTATCTCTTTCAGGCTCTCTTAGTCCGTCTCTTCCTGTACTCCTTTCTGGGTCTCTGTTTGGGTCTCTCTCCATCTCTCTTAATTCCTCCATCTCCCTACCTTTCCCTTATTCTCCCCTTTTCCACTGAACCTGTCTGTCGGGAATTTCAGGAAACACCCACCATAGAAACTGGCGCTGGAAAAAAGAGGGACATGGACCCCCTCCCCTTACCCACCTCAAGGACCCTGAAGTGGGCGCGAACCTCTGTAGCTGCTGACCCACCGGCTCCCACCCTCAAAGTCCATCTCTTCGCGTCCACTACCATCGCTGTGCTGTGCAGGATCAGCCACCCGGTTGCCATAGCTACCGGTCGGAGCATCCTTTCTCTCTGGACTGCCACTCTCCGACCGCGGTCCCGCACAGGCACCACACCACCGGGAGAGGGTGTCTAAAAGGCCCAGAGGGGCGCCAAGGGGTGCACTGCAGGGGCCTCCGCCCTTGGGAGGAACGGACATCCCCTTCCCCACTCCCCACCCTTTCCAGTACTGACATCTCCCCAGATCCTCCGAAGCACTAAGATCTCGGGGGCCCTTCCACCCCCTCCCCAGCTTTCCCCCGCCCCTCCGCGACGCTCACCCGTTGTGGGGGCCTGGGTTGGGGTGGCCATGCCAGGTTGGAGCAGGGGGCAGCTGGATGCCGAAGCGGTGAAGGCACGGCTACAGCAGCTGGCAGCCTGACGGACTGATGTCTGGGGGAGATGGGGGAGCCCTGGTGTTGGGGGGGCGTAGCCAATGGGGGCCCGGAGAGCCTGCCTCGGTCCAGGCCACCCCGCCCCCGCCCCCGCCCCCGCCCACTGCCGAGGTCTCCGCCCCTTCCCCAAGGGTGGGGGCGCCCCCTGCCGGGTCCAAGAGGGTGCCCGCCCAGGCTTTCGCGCAGAGGGACCGACATCCACAAAATGCTGTCAGGAGAGAAAAGCACGTTTTATTGGAAGTCTGGGTGGCAGAGAGGAGTCGGTGGGATCTGAACTGGGAAACGGGCAGTCCAAGTGGCAGTGGGTGCACGGGTGGTGGGTGGGAGGTGTCAGGTGCCAGGGGAATCCTGTGGGGGTGAAAAGGGTAAGAGTCAGGAGAGTCCCCCAGCCCTCCGGCCCCAGCCCTTTGCCCCCTCCCCCCTCCCTTCCCCGGCCCAGCCAGAGCTGCAGGACCTGGCTGGGTTCCATCGCGCCAGGTGCTTCTACCGCCTGCGGGTGGACAGACCTGTGGGGGAACACAGAGTTCGGGTATTAGGAGGGGTACCCCGGTTCCTGTGGAGGGGCAGCGGCAGGGAAACTCCCCGCCCTCCGGTATGAGATCAACCCCCCCCCTCCACACGCCCGGAGAGGGCCAGGAACGGGGTTCTTGGAACCAACCCTCACCCCCAAACACCCGAAGTCTCCCCAAACTCACGGCGGATGGAGCTGCGGAAAGTTCCCTCCTCTTCATCGGGTTCCCCAGTCCTGGGAATAAAGACGCAGAGGAATTGGGAATGGAAAAAGACAGAGGCAGCCACTCCCAGAAATACCTCCAATGCAGCCCTCATTTCACACACCGGTGTGCCCTGAGGCCGAGATGGGCAAAGAGCAGGCTAGGGTTGCGCCAGAAACCAGGGGCACCCAGGAGCCCTTTAAGTGTGTGGCAGGAGGCGCTTCCAGCGGGTACCAGCGAGCACCTCCCGGGTTGCTGGGAAGGGACTGGGAGTTAGTGGGGGACGGATGACCAAAAGGACTCGAAAGGCGGAGTGCTTTGAGATAGCCTCATCTTCTAGTCAAATGATCTTGGGCAAGTGATTTTCCCTCCCTGTGCCTAGGTTTTCTCCTCTGTAAAATGAAGTTAATAACAGCACCTGCCTCAGAGACGTGGTGTGAAGAGTAAATAAGATAATTACAGAATGCAACGGTATCTGGCCTGTGGGACACGCCCAATAAGTACTAGCTATTATTTATAATAACATCTCTAATGGGTTTTAAACTTGGAGAAGGTACTTGTACTTACATTGCCTGGGCTTAACATTTTTATTTAAAGATGAATCAAAGAGCTAGCAACAAGGCTCTGAGCTAAACTGGGCCACCAAGTGGTGATCTCATTTCGCCGGGCTCGTTCACAGCGCTCATCACGCTTCATGGTTTTATATTTGTGGAGCAGTTGGAAGCTGCAGCCACCGCCCCCACTGGGCTGGGAGCTCAGCCGGGCAGAGAGGGCAGTTAGTTCATGGCTAGGTCCCAGGACCTGGCTTGGGGCTTGGCCTCTCGTAGGTGCTTCATACAAATTTGCTGAAGGGTCTCTGGCTGCGGATTGGGTGGACTTCCCGCCTCACCCTCGGAGCCCCTGTAGAGCGGGAGTAGCTGAATGAGTGCTGGGAAGGCCTCTTACCTCTGCTGCTGGTTGAATTTGCACCGGCATCTTCTGCCTGTGGGTAGGTAGTGGGGGGAAGACAGGGCTGAGAGCCCATTCTAGACGGGCACCGAGAGGCGCTCGTGCTCCAGCTGGAGCTCGCGAGGGCGGGGCCGCGGGGAAAGGGGCGGGGCCAACGCGGGAGTAGAGGCGGGTGGGGTCGAGGGCGGGGCAGAATTGGGCGGGGCTGAGACAAGGCGGGCAGAGGGTGGGAATAGGGCGGGGTTGGAGGCGGGGCGGGGACGGGGCGGGGCTGGAGTGGAAACCAGCGGAAGCAGGGCTGGAGGCATTGGGGGTACTCACTAAGGACGATGAGAATTCCCAGAATGAAGAGGATCCCTGCGACGATGAGGCCTCCAATCCGCAGGGATTGATAGTCTATGGGCAGCAGGGAGGAGGGTGAGGGAGGGAGGGGAGGAGGAAGGATAGGAGAAAAGCAAAATGGGGAGGAGGGAGCAAGGAGGAAGGATGGGAAGGAGAGGAGGAAGATCAGTTAGAGGAAGGAGCAGATATGGAAGGAGGGAGGAGGTAGATCAGGGAGAGGAGAGCGAAGGAAGGGAAGGAGGTGGGCAGTGCAGGGAGTACAAAGTACAGAGGAAACGGGGGAGCAGGAAAGGATGATGGAGAGGTCGAGGGGGACAGGGAGGAGAGAAAGGTCCATAAGATACTGAAAGGTAAAAGAAGAAAGAATCAGAGAGAAAGAGAGGGATCAAATAGAGAGATAGAGACATGCAGAAAGAGGCAGAAAGAAGCAAATGAGAGAGAGAGAAAGAGAGAGAGAGAATGAAGACAAGACAGGCAAACCCAGTCCCCCACCCCCCAGTTCCCAAGGACAGATGCTCTTTCCTCCCTCACCGTAGGTGAATGGGTCGTGTTCCTTTGGAGCTTCTGGAAAGAGAAAGAGAAATCAGGGGTTGGCTGCTTCCTGGGATCGTGGAAAGGGAAGGGCATAAGGAGCCCCTTTTGGAGGCTCTACCTTCTTGGGCTGAGAGTTGGGAAACAGACCCTGAGCAGGCTACCCATCCTCTCTGGGTCTTAGCTACCTTTTCTGCACTGTCCTGGTGGGGTAGGGCCCACCTAACTGTCCCAGCTCCCCATCTCCATAGGTTGTCTGATTCCATCATCCAGGGGAAGCCACCCATTATCCCACCTTTGCCTGACCTGGGCGTCCTCCCCTATCCCCACGTACTGGCCTGTTCCTGGACCCCATGTGAGACTCCCAATTTCCCAGTGCCCCGACAGACTGCGTTTAGGTTGGAGTCCCCAACTTGGTTCTCTAGCAGTTTCCCCAACTCCTGCCACCCTTGGGTCTGAGGTGGGCAGTGGGCTGCCTCTGCAGACTCACCTGCTCTAGCCATGGCAAGGAGACCCACACAAAGAACCAAGATGTGGTCGAAAGATGCCATTGTCCTGAGGGACACCAAAGGTTAGGAAATATACACCCTCATACTCTCACCACTGCGGCCTGAACTCAAGGGGTTAAGTCAGAGACAGTTGAGGGACTTAATTCCAAAAGCATTTGTCCTCCACCCTGAGTAACGGGGCACCCCTGCTTCACAGGACACAATGTCACCAAACCAATCCACATAATAGGGGGTCACATGGCCCCAAGGACAGGGGTGAGACATAACCCACAGGGATCTCCTGCAGGCCAGGGCCTCCCCACAGCAGGCTGCAGATTCCCCACACCCACAGGAGGCCTCGCTCCACCCAGATGGCAGGCTGATACACTGCAAGGGACATGCCCAAGGGCCCACCTGCCCGCGCACCATGGCCTTGCTGTGTCCGAAATATCCCAGCTCTGCTGCGCTGGCCACTGACAGCCGCGCTCTGCCTGACCCTGGGTATAAATATCTCCCACTTCACTCTGGAGGAATTTGCCTCGCACAGGCCACCATGGCAACAGCTTTCCTTCCCCTCCTTGGGGTCATGCACAGCCCTGCTGGAGAAAGGCCACCCCTTCTCCTCTTCTGGAAACAATGAGAAAAGGGAAAAATATCCCCTCTGCCTACCTCTGGGTGACATCTTTCACAAGCGGACAACAAACACCAGGCAAGTGACATGAGATAAAAGACAGATGCCAGGGGCAGGGACACACACATGCATACACGTACACACACGCACACGCACACACACTCAGTGGGGCTGAAATGGAGACAGCGCCCTTTTCCCCCACACTTCTGGCTGGAGCAGGACATGGGGTGGAGACATAGTCAGACAAATATTACTCCTCATCTAGGCCTCCAGTGCCCCCAAACAGTGACGCAACCCATCTTACACTCGTGAATGTCCACAACCTACACCCAGCCAGGGGCAGCAGCAAGGAAGGGGGAAGTTGCACCCACACTCCCACCCCTGGGGGAACCCTAATGTCTCAACCATACTGCATTTCTCTTGGGTCCGGCCTGCCTGGGAAGCCAGGGGCTGGCCACTCCTGCTCCCAAAATAGGCTGCCCAGCTAGGAGAGGAGCGAGGCCAGGAGGGGAGGGGTGGGGGACGCTCACCCCAATCAGGCTGTCCCCTGCTGGAAGCAGGCCCCCAAGTCTGGCTGTGACCGGGCTAGCACTTTGGACCCCCTGGCCCAGAGCTGGATGCACCGCCCCCAGCGGTCTCCCCTCCCAGCCCCACCCCAGCCATGCCCTCCCCAACCAGCAGCTGTAACTGGAGCTGGTGCTGGAGGGGGGCCAGGGGGCGGCCCCCAGCCCAGACCGCCCTGGCCCGCTAGGTTAACTCTCTCGACTCGGATGGAGCAAGAGTAGACAGCCACGTTGAAGAAAGCTGGAGAAAGGAGGTGCTGGCGGAGAAGACTAGATTGCAGACACACGCGCGCACACATGCACATGCACACACACGCACACTCACACGCACATGCCTCGGGCCCATCTCAGCGAGCTTCTAAGCTGGGCTAAGAGGTGCCAGTGATTTTGTTTTGCTCCCTGGAAATTGGGCTCAGGTGGGGCCAAAGGTCACCTAGCCTGAGTGTTGAGCCCACTGACCCCTGACTCCAGTGTTCTCGGAGCCCTGGTCAGCAAGCACCACAGGACTGTTTGGGGGACATTTCAGTGTGTGTATGTGTTGTCCACTCTGACCGTGAAGTCCCCCAGGAATGCGTGCACATACACACACACACAAACCCAGATAAACAGGCAAAAGAGCATACAAATACATGCATGTATATACATACAAACACAGAGGCAGACACACACAGAATAACACATTCACGGAGAAACCCAAAGACACACACACACACAGCCAGCACCTCTTCTATCAGGCACAAAACACCAAGACAAACACATTTGTTTACCCAAACAACACACACACCTGTTCATTCAGGTGGGTACCCGTACAGAGGCACAGCAGAGACCCAGCCACACAACTATCCCCTCTTACAAATGGTCACAAAGATGCACACTCTTACAGAGACATCCTTACAAATAGTGATGCAGAAACACACCAATACACTCGTGCCACACGAATACACTCAAAGACGTAGGCACGCAGCCAGCACTCCTATACAATCTCAGAGATGTGAAAGTCCACAGACTTGTGTACACATGTACACACACACACACACATTTCCGTGAGCACACGGAGAAGCAGAAACTGTCCAGGACACAGCCGGACAACCAGCCTCTCCTACACATAACCACAAAGACAATCACACACCTGTGATCACACCTCATGCACAGGCAAACAAGCACATGGCTGGTCACACAGTCACACACATGATAGGCCTATACGTTTTTGTTTACACATTGACACCATCAAACATGAGTTGATGTATTTAACCCTGAACTTCCCCTTCCCTGAGCTCATGTGGCCTCTAGGGCCTTCTAGAGGACAAGTCAGCTGGCAGACTCATGGGCAGGACAAATTCACAAGGCACTGGTGACAGGAAATCTGGTTGTGTGAACATGAGCCGTCCATATGACCTCACTGTGCCTCAGCTGCCCAGCCTATGAAATGGAAAAAAATCACTGAGGTCATATGTGTAGCCCCAGGCCAGGCCCAGAGGTCTCTGACTGGACATTGTCTTATCATGCACTCCATTTTATTTTATTTATTTATTTTTATTGATACATGTCCCTAGCCTCTAGGGCCTAGCAGGAACTGAACCCGGAACTCTCTGGTCCAACCGCTGAGCCGGTGGCCAGGGCTCACGCACTCCATTTTAAAGATGAGCAAACGTAGGCTGAGCCAAGTGAAGCTAATTCTCCCAGGGTCCCCCTGGTGGTTAAGGGCAGAAACGCCCCCCTTTCAGTCAAAGAGATCAGAAGCAGGCCGTGACCTCAGGCTCAGCAGGGCAGGCACGGGAAGTGTGCGTGCTCACTCTCAGGCCCAGGCATAGCCCTGCCACACACATCCCTGTGTGTCTGAGCCCTCAGCCGCTGCCCCTCCTGGGCCTGCACCCAGGTTATGATCACCAGCAGTCCCTGGTTATGATCACCCTGATGTTGATGCAGCACTGGAGAGGGGTGATGGGAAACAAGGGGCTGAGCCAGGAGGGGGGTGCCTGGCCAGCTCCAGCCAATCCTTGGCTTCCTCCCCTCACAGGACCAACAATTAGAGTGGATCAGCCACTTTCTAGCTGTGTGATGTTGGGCAAATGACTTAACTGCTCTCCATCCTCCATCGTCTTACTGAATGTTCTGCACACCTGGGGTTTGACAGAGGAGAAAAGTGAGGATCACACAGGCTGAATGATGTATCTGCCTAAATCCACATAGAATTGGACTTGGAGCCCAGATACGCATGGTCCTGCCTGAGCTTTTATTTTTATTTATTTTTTATTTTATTTTTTGTGTGTGTGGTACGTGCCTCTAGCGGGAACCAAACCCAGGAATCTCTGGTCCGTAGGTCGATGCTCAACTGCTGAGCCAAACTGGCCAGGGCCTGCCTGAGCTTTTAGCCCTTTGCTCCCCAAGGTTTCTGGACGAGTGCAACGGGGGTGCGGGGGCAAGGCTGAAGGGTTTACTCAATGGCAGGGGCGAGTGGTGAGGTTTAGCTCTGCCCAGTGCCATGAAATGAATCATTTAAATGCCTCGTGCCTCAGTTTCCCCATCTGTAAAGTGGGAATTAGTACTATTACCCACCTCACGGGGTTTTTGTGACAACTGAGCCAATTTACGTAGATCTTGGCACACAGTAAGTGCTCAGTAAATATTATCATTATTTTTTTGGATTTGGTAACAAGTGCCATTTATTTTTTTTTTATTATTATTTTTTTAATTCTCACCCAAGGACATTTTTGTATTCATCTTCAGATAGAGAGGGAGAGAGAGAGGGAGGAAAAGAGAAGATATCGATGTGAGAGAGACACATCAACTGGCTGCCACCCACACGACCCCAACCGGGGCCAGGGCCAAACTGCAACTGAGGTACGTGCCCTTAGCGGGAACAGGACCTGGGACTCTGTGGTCTATGGGCCAAGGCTCTAACCACTGAGCAAAACCAGCTAGGGATATTTTTCTTATTTAATGGACAGAATCTATCCAAACTGCTAAAAGCTTAGTACAAAAAACCACCACTATCCATGAGTTCTGATCTCCAGGAAAGAATGAAAAATCATGTGGAGAGGCCTGGAGCTGGCACCTGGGCCCCAGTCCCGCCTCTGCCTTTTCTGTGCAATCTAGACCTCAAGTTACCTGACTTCTCTGCCCAGTCTGTCCCTCTGTAAAGTCGCCATACAGTAGTCACAACCTCAGTAGGCTGTGAAGAGCTCAGAGGAGCTAATAGATCAGCCTTCAGGATGGGGCCTGGTGCAGAGCCAACGCTGAAGAAAGGGGTGGTATAATCATCATTTTTTGGGGGGTTGACTCCCTACCCCCAGTGGGAGGTGGTCACTCAAGGGGTTAATTTTGAGCAGGCAAGGGAGGAGCATTTGGGGCAGGATAGAGCCCTGCCAAGTGTGGCCGCCAGAGGGAGCAGCTGGACCTGAGCTGGCCCCTCCAAGCCTGTTGACAGCATCACTGCAGCCTTCTGCAGCCTGGGGAGGGGGCTGTCTGGGAGTGACTAGGGTGACTCCGGCCCCCAGTAGTCTCTCCTCCCAGCCCCTTCCTGCATGCAGAGTCATCTGGTCCCACCCTGGTGACATCCTCCGCATACTCCCTGAGTGGGGAATCTGGGCAGGGGGCTGCCTGGGAGTGGTCAGGGAGGCTCCCGCCCTGGGTGGCCCCTCCCCTCCCATGGAGCCATCCAGTCCCTTCCCCAGAGCTGCTCTTCCTATGGCCCCTGACCTCTCCTCCTCGCTCTTACCCGGCTTTCGGGGCACACCCGGTGCCCACTGAGTCCCTTTCCAAAACCTCCAGGGAGAAGGGGTGTGGGAGGAGGGAAGAAACATACAGGGAGCTGGAAAGGGGGGTTGGGAGACAAGAAATAAAGACAGAGGGACACACACACACACCACAGAAAGAAAGGCCAATAGACAGAGACAGACAGAGAAACAGACAGAAAAAAAGACAGACAGAAAGAGAGACAGAGATAGAGTGAGAAACAGACTAACTCACTGAATCAGAAATCCAAAAAGAGACAGAAAGAAAGACAGGGAAAGAGAAATAAACAGAAAATTGGACTCCAAAGAGATACAGGGAGAAAGACAGACCGAGCGAGAAGAGAGGGGAGCCAGGAGCCAGGGCACAGGGCGCCAGCTGGCGGAATGGAGGGCGGCCGGGCGTGGGGGATGTAGTGGCCGAAGCCTGGGCAGAGCAGGGTGGGCAGACAGGAGCGGGGGCCTCAGCAGGGGTGAGAGGGCATGGGAGGGGCAGGCGTTTTCCTGCTGCTGCTTCTGGCTGAGGTGGGGGCTGGGGTGGCCTGGAGACCCCCAAAGGGAAAATGTCCTCTGAGCTGCTCCTGCTCCAAAGACAGTGCCCTGTGTGAAGGCTCCCCGGACCTGCCCGAGAGCTTCTCCCCGAGCCTGCTGTCACTGTAAGTGTCAGGCCCTTTGGGGGCCTGAGGGTGGGGATGGGAGCCCTGGTACCCCAGGGGTTGGAAGCAGGGTGCCAAAGAAACAGGGTCCTGTCAGGATCTTGGGAGCTGGGCAGCAAAGGATGTTGGGATGCCCAAAAGGGGGCTGCTGGGATTTGAAAGGGAGCAGAAGAGACATTCCGAAGGGCAGCAGCAGCATTAGGGGCCTGGAGGGGGGGGCAGCAGGGGGTGGGAGGGCTGCCAGGATCCTTGCCAAGCGAGGTGAGCAAATGCCTGTCTCCCTGTGATGTAGGGGAAACACACCCAGGGCCACGGTGGCATGGCAGGGTCCCCCAGACAGGAGACAGCTCTGGGATGGGACTGCAGCACTGGAGTGGTTTTGTCCTCACCAACAATTGCCCATGTCCCCAGCTCACTCGTTAGGACTGAAGTTACGCAGCTGAAGGCCGGCAGCTTCCTGAGGGTGCCCTCGCTGCACCTGCTGTGAGTGGGGCCAGTCAAGGGAGAGGGTGTTCATGCACACGTGTGGGGCTGTGTGCACACACGTGTGTATGTGTGTGAAAGCATCTGCATCCACGCACATACTTACCTCGCGTGACCGTGCCCCGGTGGGCTGAGGGGGGAGGCCGAGGTTAAAGTGTCAGATAGGGGCAGCGACTCTGGAAAATGTTTCTTTCTCGCCCCTTTGCCAGTCTCTTCACATTCAACTCCTTCTCCGTGATTGAGGACGACGCGTTCGCGGGCCTGTCCCACCTGCAGTACCTGTGAGTGAAGCCGGGGCTGGGGCCAGAATGGGAGAGAGGAAGGAGGGCCCCGCTGTGGCTCCCAGTAGGGGAGGGAGGGGTTTGTTGCCCTGGGGAGGAGGCATCTGAATAAGGGCGAGGGGCCTGGCCTCTTGGGCGGGGTCAGGATTCCTGATCAGCTGTGTAATCTCAGCCTTCTCACCGCACCTCTCTGTGCTTGAACATCCACAAAAGGCCCGGACACCCAAGACTGTTTCTGGCTCTCCCTGGCTTATGGACCCCCAGGGAGGGTGCGAGAGGCCAGCAACAGGAAGTGTTTCAAATCACCAGGAAACGACTCTGGGTTGGGTGGTGGTGGTGGTGATGGGCATGGCAGTATGACAATGCTGGTATTGGTGTCGATGTTGGTGTTAACGAGGATGGCGATGGTGGTGATTCTGTTCTGCTACCCACAAGGAAGAAGTGGCCTTAATGAGGAGGATGGAATGGGGATGATGTTGGTAACAATGGTGGACACAACCCAGCAGGTGTGGCTCAGTGGTTGAGTGTCGACCCATGCACCAAGAGGTCGCCGGTTCGATTCTCGGTCAAGACACACGCCCAGATTTTGAACCAAAAAATGGCGGACCCAACGGTGATGTTGCTGTCGGTGATACTGGTGATGAACGCTGAGGGTTCGTGGCAGTGATAATTATCAGTGTAGTAGGCACTGGTGATTCCAGTACTAGTATTGCTGTTGGTGTGGGTGATGACTGTGAGTAGGATGGTGGTGTTGGTGTTGGTGTTGAAAATGTTGTTGGTACTGAGTTTGATGGTGATGGTGGAAGTGTTAGTATGTCTGAAAATTGTGGCAGGGGTGGTGCTCGGGGTGGGTGAGGAGCCGAGCGTTGGGGATAACAGTGGTGTAATTGGTGTTGGCAATATGGGTGCCAGTGCTGATGTGTGTGATCATGGGGGCAGGGTCGGTGATGAGGGCGGCAGTCATTTTGGTGCTGATCACAAAGGCTGTGTTGGTGGTGATGCTGATTAGTGTTGCTGGTGTCAGGGTTGGTGATGATGGTGTTGTTGACGAGAGGGGTAGGTGGTGATGTTGGTGTTGGTGGTGAGGGTGGTGTTGGTGATGAGGGTGGTGTTGGTGATGAGGGTGGCAGTGTTGGTGACAATGGCAGTTACTAGTACTGGGGTTGATGACAATCGTAGAGGCGTGGGTATTGGTCATCCTGGGTAGTGGTGGCGGTATTAGTGGTGCTCTTGGCTGGTGCTGGTGATCAGAGTGGCAGTGGGGGTGATGGTGGTGGTAGTGTCCGCTGAGGCTGGCAATGGCCATGGAGGCAGGTTCCTGGCTCCCAGGTTTGTAGGCTGGGACCTTGGTGAGACGGGGCTTTTGAGGAGGTTTATCCTGGGATTATGCCAAGTGTTGGGGGAGAATTCAGCACATTCCAGTGGCATATGGCTTCCATGGGGTGAGTTCCCCTAAAATATGGGGCCATAGCAAAAACCAGAGGGTCTCCCCGCACCCCTGCTTTCCTCCACAGCTTCATCGAGGACAACGAAATTGGCTCCATCTCTAAGAATGCTCTCAGAGGACTTCGCTCGCTCACACACCTGTAGGCACCCCCCCGCCCCAGCTCGCCCTGGCGGGCCCCCACACCCCACTGCCCCGAGACGTGGGCTGTTTGGTAGCTGCTGATGGCCCCTCCGCCTTCTCTCCTTCCACCAGGAGCCTGGCCAATAACCATCTGGAGACCCTCCCCAGATTCCTGTTCCGAGGACTGGAGACCCTGACTCATGTGTGAGGCTCAAGGGGGCTGGGTGGGGAGGGTGGGAGTGTCTGAGGAGGGCACAGGTGGGCACAACGAGTACCACTGCAACGATGAGGATTTTTCGCCCCACCTGTGGGGCTCCATCCTGGACTCTGACCTGGGAAGGGGTGGGGAGCGTGGCCTCCAGAGGGTGGAAGCCAGGTCGCAGCCCCTCCCCGGCCTCTTGCCCCAGGGACCTCCGAGGGAACCCGTTCCAGTGTGACTGCCGTGTCCTCTGGCTGCTTCAGTGGATGCCCAGCGTGAACGCCAGCGTGGGGACCGGAGCCTGCGCCGGCCCCACTGTCCTGGCCCACGTGCAGCTCCGCCACCTCGACCCCAAGACGTTCAAGTGCAGAGCCATAGGTGGGGGCTTTCCCTGTGGGGCGGGAGGGGCAGCAGGGGTCCCCAGGGGCCAGCGGCCAGGGCTGAGGGGTTCACCTCACTTCATACTCCCTGCCTGCTCCTGGCTGTGAGACTTTGAGCGAGCAGCATGGCCTGCCTGAGCCTCAGCGCCCTCATCTGTGAAATGGAGGTAATAAACAGTGACCTGGGACTGGTGTGAGAATACAGTGACCCGTCCACACCTGTACTGGGCATAGAGCCTGGAACGGGAGGCCCTTATAAATGTTCATTCTTGTTGTTACTGTTATTCATAGAAACATGGCCGTTTCTAAAATGCTTCCTAGGATCATTCTGCTCTTCCATATACATTTTGGTACCGTCCTGGGTACTGGGCAGTGCAGAGAGCGCGGCGGTGAGGAAGACAACCCTGGGTGTCGCCCTCACGGAGCCCACAGTCCAGGGGAAAGCAGAGAATGACCGCCCAGAGTGACCAGGGCCGGGCTGGGGGAAGCAGAGTGGCCAGGGCTGGGAGCTGAGGAGCTCGCGGGGCTGTGGCGGCCCAGAGCCAAAGCGAGGGCCAGGTGCTCCCAAAGGAGTGGACGTTTGAAGGCTAGTAATATAATAACTATTATTACCTTCATCATCATCATCTCAATGTGACATGTTTTAGGTCTGGGGGACTCCTAGAACAAGAGAATTTAACTTAAGCGTCATTTTTTATTCAGTTATTCAACAAAGGCTCACAGAGGTGACTCTGTGCCCGGCCCTGTACGAAGCCTTCAGCACACTGTGGTCACCGAGATAGCCCTGGGGCCTAGCCTCACAGTCCTGGGGGAGTGGCTAGGGAGACAGACATTAAGTTAAACACTGCACAAATAAATGTATGAAATTGTGATATACATAGGGAGTGATGAGGAAAATTAAGGGGGACAGACCCACCTTACATGAGGCATCTAAGAAGGCTTTTCTGAAAAGATGGCATTAGCTCTGGAGGAAGCGAAGTGAGGTACAGAGGGAAGAGCATTGCAGAGAGAGGGGACTGCATGTGCAATGGCCCTGGGGCAGCATAGAGCTTGTCCTGCTTGGGGATCAAAGGAAGGCAGGCCTGGCTTGGGAGAGTGAGTGAAGGGGGGACACAGATGAGGTCAGAGGTGCAGGGGCCTCCCTGGGCAGGACACCAAAGCAACAGAGAGGAGAGTGGATTTCACCCCGAGGGCTGTGGGAAGCCACGGTGGGTTGTGAGCAGGGGGTGATCTTTAGATGGATATTTTAAAAGGTCCCTCTTTGCGTGGGCATCCTGGGTAGTTTGGGACATTGCTTCAACCCTGGCACCTAGAAGGAGGGCCTGGCCTGTAGAGTGAAGTAGTATGACCTGGAGTCAACCATTAGCTCCACCACCACTGTGCTGGGCAACCTGGGTACATTGTTACCATAAAAGCTAAGTTGTATCAAAGAGTGTCAAAATACCATGAGTTAAAGGAGACAGTATCTGAGCTGTGCACTCCAGGCAGCCCCTGGACACTGTCCTGGTTTTCATGGTTGACACCGACTTGTAGCATGTCCATCTGCCACTTCTTGGGGAGAAGGGGGAGGAGACCAAGTCCAGGGCGAGCCACCTCGTCCACTCGAGGCATTACAGCTACCACTCTGCTCCTGTTCCGTGGGGAGGTTGGTCTGGACAGCGCCACACCAAACCTTGGGCAGGGGTGCAAGGGGAATGCTGAGATAACATGGCCTCTAGCTGGGCAGCTTCGTGCCTGGTTCCAATCCTATTCCATGGAAGATGGAAGGATGGGTTTGCTGGGCAACTGGCTGCCTGTGTCCCTTAGCAGTACCTTCCTCGTCTGCAAAGTGGATATAATAATGGAAGGTACCTCATAGGGATTTGGTGAAGCTAAGTGAGTTCATAACCATGCTGCTTCTAAGCAATTAATTGGATAAGCCCACGAAGCTTAGACAATAAAGTATTGCCATGTTGTTTTGAATTAGTACAGCGACAGATAAAAAAAAGATTCCGTCTATGTTCCTATGAGATGAATAGCACAGGGGTCGTCATTTCACAGATGCGCAAACCCAGGCTCAGCGATGAGGACCCTTGGTTGTCTCCAGGGCCTGCCTGACTCTCTCCTGCCACCCCCAGAGCTGTCCTGGTTCCAGACGGTTGCGGAGTCGGCGCTGGGCGTGGAACCTTTCTCCTACCAGGGGGAGCCCCACATCGTCCTGGCACAGCCCTTTGCTGGCCGCTGCCTGATCCTCTCCTGGGACTATGGCCTGCAGCGCTTCCGGCTTGAGGAAGAGCTGTCCGGTGAGCCCCCTCCCACCTTCCTTCCTGCCGCGGGCACCTGCCCTGCCCAGCGGGCCTGACCTGCCCCCTGCTCCCTGCCTCACCCACAGCGCCCTCCGTGGTGTCCTGCAAGCCGCTGGTGCTTGGCCTGCGCCTCTTCGTGCTGGCCGCCCGCCTGTGGGGGGGCTCGCAGCTGTGGGCCCGGCCCCGCCCCGGCCTGCGCCTGGCCCCCACGCAGGCCCTGGCCCCCAAGCGGCTGCTGCGGCCCAACGACGCCGAGCTCCTGTGGCTAGACGGGCAGCCCTGCTTCGTGGTGGCCGATGCCTCCAAGGCAGGCAGCACCACACTGCTGTGCCGCGACGGGCCTGGCTTTTACCCTCGCCAGAGCCTCCACGCCTGGCACCGGGACACAGATGCCGAGGCCTTGGAGCTGGACGGGCGGCCTCATCTGCTGTTGGCCTCAGCCTCACAGCGGCCTGTGCTCTTCCACTGGTCCGGGGGCCGCTTTGAGAGGCGCACTGACATCCCTGAGGCCGAGGATGTCTATGCCACACGCCACTTCCAGGCCAGTGGGGATGTGTTCCTGTGCCTGACACGCTACATCGGGGACTCCCTGGTAAGCCTGGGCCCGACCAGGTAGGGGTGGCAGCAGAGGCCACAAGCCACCATGACCTGCAGCTGACACCTACTCAGGGTTGTCTGTTCAGCATGGACCGCTCAATATGGGCCGGACCCCACTTTGCACACTGGCCTCTAAACTCTGACCTCAGCCCTGGCTGTTTTGGCTCAGCAATTGGAGCGTCAGCCTGCAGACCAGAGAGTCCCGGGTTTGGTTCCCACTAAGGGCACGTACCTCGTTGGCAGTTTGTCCCCGGCCCTGATTGGGGTCGTGTGGGTGGCAACCACTCATGTGTCTCTCTCACATTGATGTTTCTCTTCCTCTTCCCCCCCACTCTCCCTCCCACTCTATCTGAAGATAAATGTAAAAATGTCCTTGGGTGAGGATTAAAAAAAAAAATTTAAACTCTGACTTCACAGGCTGATTTTCAAACTCCAACCCCACCTAAAGTCTGATCCCTGAACTCTGACCCCACCCCAACACTGACTTCAAGACTGTGACCCCTTAAGGATTGCTAACCCTAAACTACTCCCCATTCTCTAACATAGACACTGGCACCGAGATTCTCATTGTAACCCCAAACTCTGGCTCCATAACTCTGATTCACCCCACTTTAACCACAACATCACACTCTGAGTCCCCAAGGCTGATGTTCACATCCTCCAGCACTCTCTTTTTAGGGGGAGAGTCTAAGCCTAGAGGCACTGATCTGACTCAGGTGTTCATAGTAGCTCTATGGGGAGCAGATTGGGCACAGGGACAAGAGTAGGGTGACCAGGGAAGAGGTGACTGTAGCTGGGGTGGAGGGTGGCCAGGGGAGATCGGAGCAATCAATCCCCCAGGAGGTAACACGGACAGATCCCATTACTGATGGATTCTGTGTAGGGTGTGTGGGAAAGGGAGGACCAAGAATGTGGCCTGAGCAGCCGGGTGGTGATGTTTATGAAGATAAGAAAGCTATGGGAGTTGGAGGACCTACAGGCCTCTGTTTACAACCTATTCCAAGTCCTCAAAGCCTAAGGACTACCAATGGGCCTGGGCCTCCCGGATCCCAGGTCCTAACCAGCCGCCACACTTCACAGGTCATGCGCTGGGACGGCTCCATGTTTCGCCTGCTGCAGCAACTGCCCTCACGTGGTGCCCACGTCTTCCAGCCGCTGCTCATAGCCAGGGACCAGCTGGCTATCCTGGGCAGTGACTTCGCCTTCAGCCAGGTCTTGCGCCTTGAGCCTGACAAGGGGCTCCTGGAACCATTGCAGGAGCTGGGGCCCCCAGCGTTGGTGGCCCCCCGGGCCTTCGCCCACATCACCACGGCTGGCAGACGCTTCCTCTTCGCTGCTTGCTTCAAGGGCCCCACACAGATCTACCAGCTTCACGAGTTAGACCTCAGTGCCTGACACTGACGGAACCCCGGACATGGCTGGTGAGGGGACTGGCATGGGGAGACTTAGGCCTCTGGACACCCCCTTGACTGACCTCTTGGCTCCACTTGGGGTTATGGCTGGTCCTGTGAGATACTGGCCACAGGCCAAGTTCAAGACAAAAGCTGCCCTTCCAGTCTTACTCAACATCTTGGCTGGGGGGCAAAATGCACCCCACCGACGTGGGAGCTCAGGCTGGGGCACAGAACCGGAATCCAGAAGTCGTGTGGGGGTAATGTGCAGAACTCCGTGAGGTCCGGAAGCACCCCCCTCCCCTCAACCCACCCCTACTCCTCGGGCTCCCTGGGAAAATACCCAGGAGCAGATAGCTTTCAATTTGGCCAATCGCTTTTAGTGCACGCCCCTATTACGTCATCAGTCGCTGGGCAGGTTTTCCTGCTGGGCTTCTAACTTCTGCTGCTGTTTGTGCGCATGCCTGCTGCCAAGGCGAAGCCCAGCGTGCTGTTGTTCTTGCTCGCGAGAGGGAAATGGGCGGGAAAGCGAGAGTTTGGGCGGGTAGCCTCGGACACCCCTTTCCGGTGAGTGACGGGTGAAGGCAGAAGCTGTATGAGCTCAATAAATGTGCTGTGCACCCGCCCCACTCGTTGTTGTGGGATCATTGGGAGAGGGTGTCTCCTGAGGGACCTGGATGGGGGCAGTGCCCCAGGAGGAGGGGGACCCAGGGCTTCCCCTGGTTGGCTTCCGGAGTCGTCTAAGGAGTGTGGGTTCACGATTATGGGGGGCTCATGGAATGTTCAAGGGATATAGGGGCACAGGTTAACTCTGGGTCTCTTCTTGGGGGGGCTTTCTTCTTGGGTGTTTTGAAGGTTTTTAGGCATGTTAGGGGTGGCTCTTGGGGACATTTGAATATCTTATTTGGTTTGGAGGAGTCTCAAGGGAGTTTGAGGCCCATTGGAGGTTCTAGAACCATACCCATAATGTATTATTAGGATTATTGTGGGCAATTTTTTTTTCTTTATTGAGAGAAGTTTAGAGAGAGAGGGAGGGAGAGAGAGAAACATTGATTGGCCACTTCCCCCCGCATGCCCCCCACTGGGGTTGGACCCACAACCTGGGCATGTGCCCTGACCAGAATCGAGCTGGCGACCTCTTGGTGCACGGGTAGACGCTCAACCACTGAGCCACGCCTGCTGGGCTCATGGGCAATTCTTTAAAGGGCTCACATGGACATTTGGGAATAAGGAAGGGTCTTCTGTAACGAAGTGGGGTCTGAGCGGTGCGCGGAAGGATCATAGGGGTCTTATTACTACAACCATAAGCTCTCTGGGTTTTCATGCCATGGTGGGATGATCCCGGTGTCCACCTGAGTGTTACAGCATTTCATCTGGTTACAGCTCCCTTTCACTGCCTCAAAAATGTCCCCCATTTGAATACTAGAAAAATTTAAATTGCAATGTGGCCCCCATGGCCGTCGAGGCAGAGGACAGACCCCATGCCGCTCACCAGATCATGAGGGCACCGGCCTTTGGGCTTTTCCCAGCAGAGATTCAGCTGCCGGTTTTTGTGGCAGCTTCCAGTGCATGTCCGCTTCCTCCTGGCCCCACAAATCCTACCCCAAAGCACACATAGGGAGTCTCAGGACTGCTTGGGCAGGAGGCAAGATCATTTTAGATAAAAAAATTGAACAAAGAGACCTCTCCAGTGAGAAGTGAGATGAAGTCGGGCAAGGTGGTCTGAGGGGAGGAGGGAGAAGTCCATCCTGGAATTTGGTTCCTGTGCAGAACCAGGACTTGGGGAAAGAGAGAGGCCCTCCGTTGATCCATCCTCAGCAGGTATGGGCAGAGCCTGGGAGAGGTGATAGGGTCAGCTTGTGAGAATGGATGGAGGTTTTCTCCCCAGGGCACAGGCACACACACCTTACATCCCATGTACCTCTCAGCCCCATCTGTCCCCGCCTTACCTGGAGTGACGAGAGGTGGGGAGTCCCCAGGCCGGTGGCTGGGAAAAGAAAAGTGGTGAGATCTGTATCTGCTCGTTTGTCCTCTCCCTCAAGACTAGAAGATTCTCCGCTTTCCCTAACCTAGCTTCCTGGCTGTCTTTCCCTTGTAGAGTTGTACCACCCCAGGGTCCAAAGCATTTCAAGATTTGGGGCCCTCTGCGCATGTTCAGCTCTGAAGAATAAACCTAGGACATCTTCATGGCGGGCATTCTCCAGGGCAGGGCCTGGAGACCTGGCCTCTTTCGGCAAGATTTAACTTTCACCCCTGCAGGGTGTCTGTCCAGCACGAGATAGGCACACACCGGGAACCCATCTCACCTGGACTTCTGGCTGAACTTGCATTTGCATTTCCCACCTGTTGGGGAGAGGGGACCGGTCAGGAGAGGGGACCCACAGCCCTGCCCTGCCCACCGCCCGCCAGCCCCCCCACTCACTCATGAGGACGATAATGCCCATGGCGCACAGGATGCCTGCGCAGATGAGCCCGCCGACCCGGAGGCTGTGCCAGTCTAGGAGAAACCCAGAGGGAGCCACCGGTGTCAGCCGGCGCCCTCCTCATCCAAGCCCCCACTCACTTAACAAAGACGTATTGGGCACCTGCGATGTGGGGGCGCTGGGGATACGGCAGCGCAGAAAACACACCCCGCCCCTCCTTTGCTCACATGTAGTTCACACGCAAGCAAGGAACCAGAGATGTGATGTCGGGTTGAGTGGAGAGAAGTGGTCTGAAGACAAGTGAGCAGAGCCGGGGAGCAGAAAACCAGAGGGCAGCTCTTTCGGGGACAGTGGCCAGGGGAGGCCTCTCTGAGGGACCCCACTTGAGCAGAGGTGGGGGAGGTTAGGAAGGGAGCCGCGGGGCTGGTGGGAAAAAGTGTTCCAGGCACAGGGATCAGAAGGCACAAAGGCCCGGAGGCTGGGAGTGTGTCTGCTGAGTCTGAGCAGCAGCAGAGGCCGCTGTGGCCTGAGCAGGAGCCCTGGGGGGGGGGGGGCAGAGGGAGGACAGGGAGCAGATCGTGTGGAATCCGAGGCCACGGGAGGATTTGGATCAAATAGCTCAGCTCCTCGAGGAGTTTGCTCCTGGGCCCTTCTCCCAGAGGACTTGATCCGAACCATGACACTGGCTTCTTAGGAACTGTCCCTCCTTGTAAGCTGCGCCAGCTGGAAAGGCATGCACCTTCCCGAGGACCAGGCTAGCATGTCTTGTTCCTGTGTTTGTTTACTGGTCAATGTCCCAGTCCAGTCCTATTCTTGCCCCCTTTTCACCCACATCAGGCCCTCACCCAACCCCGCGTGGGGCTCTTGGCACAAACTAGGAGGAGGGATGGGGGAGGAGGAGTGAGGGGAGGGGCACCAGCTCTTACCATAGTAAAAAGGACTGTTTTTATCTGAAAGGAAAGAAAAAGAACATGAATCCGGGACCATAGCGGGGATGCAGGGGGGGGGGGGGTCCCGGGGGGAATTTGGGGCTGGGGTTGGTAGAAGAGTAGGCTCAGACTCACCTTCGGGGTCGTTGGCGCCCAGGGCAGGCAGACCTGGTGGGAGAAGCGGAGAGGGAGCGGCGTGGGGCCTGCAGCCAGGGCCTTGGCCTCAGGGGTAGGGTCCCTGAAGGACAGTCCCCGCCCCCGAGGGCTCAGGGGTCCAGCCCCAAACTAGCACGTCCCAGCTCAGAGATGTGGACCCTCCACTCAGCCCCACACCTGCGAGCCACGCCAACATTTTGCTTCCTGAAATAGGTTTTCATCTGGGTGGCTTTTGGCCACCCTCTGGCCTGGTGTTTCCAGACACCTGGCTGACCCACGACTCCTCCAGAAACGGAGCCACGATCTTGTCCGCACGACAGGTGGCATCAGTTCCCGGTCATTCTCAGCTCACTGCCTGTTCTGCCACGTCCCACCCCCTTTATTTTATTTGCTTATTTATTTTAATCCTTTTTTTTTTCATTTATTTTTAGACAGAGTGGGAGAGAAGGAGGAGAGAGAGAGAGAGAGAGAGAGAGAAACATTGATGTGAGAGAGACACCGATTGGCTGCCTCCCGCACGACCTGGACCAGGGCCGGGGACAAACCACAACCAAGGTACATGCTCTTGACTGGAATCGAACCTGCGACTCATTGGTCCGTGGGCCGATGCTCTAACCGCTGAGCCAAACCAGCCAGGGCTCACCACTCCCCTTTAAAGCAACTTACTACTTGCTTAATACACTTCATTTTAAAAAGCCTCTTTCGCCCGGCCAGTGTGGCTCAGTGGTTGAGTGTCGACCCATGCACCAAGAGGTCACCGGTTCGATCCCCAGTCAGGGCACATGCCCAGGTTGTGGGCCAAATCCCCAGTGGGGGGCATGCAGGAGGCGGCCAATTGATGTTCTCTTTCATTGATGTTTCTATCTCTCTCTCTCTTCCTCTCTCTAATATCAATAAAGGAAAAAGATTTTTTTTTAAATGCATCTTTCTATCACTACCCCCAGGGAAGACCAGTTTTGCCTATGCAACAGATAAAAGCAAATACAACAAAAGCAAAGGCCCAGGATTAAATTCTGGCCGGAAGCAGCGGGCTGCCTGTGCTTGGGGCCCAGGCTCTGTTCTTTCTGTTAAAAGGAGATGAGCAATTTTAAATTATATTTAAAGTACAAACACGTAGTGCTTAGTCTGTACAGGCACTGTGTCAACTGCTTTTTAAATACCGACTCTTTCAGCCCGGCCAGTGTGGCTCAGTGGTTGAGCATCGACCCGTGCACCAAGAGGTCGCTGGTTCAATTCCCAGTCAGGGCACATGCCCAGGTTGTGGGCCAAATCCCCAGTGGGGGGCGTGCAGGAGGCGGCCAATCCATGTTCTCTCTCATTGATGTTTCTCTCTCTCCCTCTCCCTTCCTCTCTCTCTAAAATTAATAAAGAGAATCAAAATTAAAAACAACAAATACCAACTCTTTTCAACCTTATAATGACTCTGCGTGAGTGCTATTATTGTCCTCATTTTACAGCTAGGGAAACTGAGGCCCAGTTGGTGACTCGGTACATAACCTCTCAGCTCCCAGTACCCCGGTAATAAAGTGCTAGGGCGGCGGGAGCACGCGGCGGAGCCGGTTCCGTGGTCAGCAGTGAGCCGCGGAGACTCCCAGCTGCTGGAGCTGTGGTTCCCAGAGGTCCTGTCTTTGTGTTCTCTTGAAACCACCAGCGACACTCCTCCCCTCAAGGAGATGCTGTCCTGGCAGAAACCACCCACAGGGGACACCTCGAGGCTTGCCTGCCACTCAGCAGAGGGGTTCGGGGGAAAAGCATTTCAGGGCTCGGCACTCACCTGCCAGAAAGATGAGCAGACTCAGGACGGCTTGTTGCATGATGGAGGCCGGCCTGGGGGTATGGGCAGGGCCCGGTGTTAGCAGGGCTGTAGGGATGCCACCAGGGCCTCTGCTTCCCAACCCCCTCCCCCTCCACGCCCCACCCAGGGTTCACGCTCGCCCCAGGGCAGGAGGGCTGGCACTGAAGATTCAGAGACCAGCGCAGTGGGGTTAGGTGAGAACTCAGAGCTGCAATGAAAACTCAGAGGATATGTACTTAAGGCTTGAAGTGAATCTCCTTGGCAACCAAATGAGGGAGGAGCTGCCTGCAGTTAACCCCATTTTACAAACTGGGAAACTGAGGCTCTGAGGGGTGCCAGAAGTGGGATTTAACCGGGCCTGGCTTTGCAGCGCCGTCCCTGACTCTCAGGGCCTGGGGTGTTTGGGGAAATGGAGTGTTAAAAGCCAAGTGGCAGGAGGCCCTGGTTCCAGGAGTGTCTCCCATAAGCAGCTTGGAGCCTGCCCGCCTTGCCCAGACTTTGTAGGCCTCAGGCTGCTCAGAGCAGGGTGTGGGGGAGAGGGCACCGGGCTGGTGGGGGAGGGGCAGACTTGGGAGAAGAATTGGCCTGGCTGCAGCCCCAGCCCCATCTTTTGTGCCACCCTGACCACTGACCACCCCATTTCTCCCCTCCCCCGCCCTCCCCACACTAGCCCCTGGTTCTGCCTGGTAGCCCAGTCCCAGCCCCTGCTCCCACCCCAGCGCCTGCCAAGCTCCTGGCAGCAGGCTCTCCCTCCTTCCCCAGGGAGCCCTGCCCAGCATGAAGAAGACCCTCTGCTCTCCTGGTCTCTGGTCAGTCCATCCCCCACCACCCTCTGCACCTGCCACAAGCACCCCGTCTGTGCAACCCCTGCCCTCTCCCTGCCCCCGCCCCGTGGCCACAAGCACATGTTGTCCTAACCTTGCTAGCAAGACCTTCCCCTTACTCTGACCGACCGGCTGGGCACTGCCAGATGACCCTGCTGGGTGTTCACTCACTTAATCCCCAGCAACCCTGGAGGTCATCTGTTACACACCCCACTTCCTGACGGGAAAACGTACCCTCCCGGCCCTGGTAAACCACCCATTAGCAGTCCCAGCTGTGTCCCCTCCTGTCCACAGAGAGCCCCCCATCCCCTCCATATAACCTCCACCCGGGTTGCTTTCTGTTCCAGGGAGAGGGCCTGTAGTCTGGGGGAACATTACTAAAGTGCTTAGGAACCCACAAAGTTTTAGGGTGATCCAGAGTGGGGTGGTGTGGGCAGGACCACCCAGTGGTTCTGGCTCAGGTCTGTAGAAGGTCTGCTGACATTGAAAGTGGCCTGGTGAGGCTCTGTCACCCCTAAACCAGGGCCAGTAACAAGCGCCGGCTTGGGGCTGGCTGAGCGGCACCCCTGGCAGGCGGGCTCCCGGCTCTGAGCACTTACTCAGGCATAGTCTCCGCAGCCTGATGAAGGCGGCTCTGCGATCAGCCCGCGTTGCTGTCGCAACCCTGTAACCCCTGCGAATTAAGCTGTTAATGCTCTACACTCTGTCACCTGCAACTCAGTCTCAGCTCTTAAGCTTCTTTCCAGGGGACCCTCCAAGTCCCCCGCCCGCTGTGAGGTCTTCATGACTCTCCTCCCCGGGCCTCCCCCAGCAGCCCCAGCTCAGCTGGTCCCCAGCCCTGCACATTGCCAGCCTGGCTCTCCTGGGGCAGGCGGAGGAGCTGGAGCTTGGGGGGAGCTGGAGCCTGGGAGGGGGAGCTGGAGCCTGGGGGGGAGCTGGAGCCTGGGGGGGACCTGGAACCTGGGGGGAGCTGGAGCCTGGAGGTCTGTCCGTTCCCAGGTCAGGCCGTAGTGGGAAGAGGCCCTGAGCGGCCCCTGAGCGGCCTGCAGTTGGTGTGGGCTTGGAGAGGAAGCATTGGCCCACCCTGTCCGCTCCTTCCCAGCCTCAGAGGTCCTGTCTCTGCCCCTGCCCTCTGCCCTCCCCCCTGTTCCTCCATGGTGGTGGCCAGGCCTTTCAGGCATGCAGAATGACTCCCCGTGCCCCTGAAATCTCCTAGCCAACTCCCCATTTTACACCTTTGCAGGAACCAGGAACCGCCTCTCCTTTTTCTAGGTCTACGGACCCCACTCCCTAAACACTCCGAGTCTAGCCAGTCACCCCATCCACCGTGATACCCCAACCACCCATGTGCACTTAGACACCTCCATTCACCCAGGTCCCCAGCCCGCCCTGTCCACCCGGATACCCCCGTACTCCAGCCTCCCGGTCCACTGAATCCCCTCGATCTATCCAGACAACCCAGAGTCACCTGTGGACCTTATCCTCAGCCCCTGAGAGGAGAATAATTGGAGGAGGGTCTCATTAGGGGCTTCCTCTAGTCTCCTGCCCCCGCCCCCAGAGAAAGCTCTCGAAGGGGGAAGGTTCTAGGGTCTATAACAGAGAGCAGTGGAAGAAAGGGGCCCATGTCTCACCTGCGTGACTCCCAGGCTGCGTGGACAGTCCAGGTTCCGCCTGAGTCTCGCCTTTATCTGCAGCTGCCACGCCCTAAGCAAACCTGGGCAAAGCTGGGCAGGTAAAGAGCAAGTCAGACTGCCTGAAGCACAGGGGCTCTCATCCCATTCCTGCTCTTAAAGAGACAGCTCCTGCCACCGCCCCACCCGCGACAGGGGCTCCCTGGGGTCCAAGGGCAGGGCAGCCTCAGGTGAGGTGCAGTGAGGACAGGATGGGCTGGAACTCACCCCCCACCCCCCACATAAGGGGAGAGGGCTTTGTCCAATCTCCTGCCCCTCAGAAAAGGACCTGGAAGGAAGAAAGTCCAGGAAGAAGGTCTTTACCAGCAGAGCTTGGGTCTGGGGGTCTGGGAGTCCGGAGGGAGCACAGGGGTGGGGGATTGGTGGGAGGGCCATACAGTGGTGTAATATCCCAATTATTTTTACTTAGAGTGTATGTTGTGCTTGGAGGAGGGCTTGGTGGCAATTATGGGAGAGCTAATGTCCTCTTCCAGGACACTTGTGCTGACTTGGTTTGAGGGTCAACAGAAGATGCTGATAGGACCAAGGTCCTAAGGTGGGGGTGGGGCTGTTGGGCCTTAGACTCGACCCCTCCCCTGTGGTGCCCATTGGGCCTTAGGAAGACCGGGAACTGGCCCCAGTGCACCAGGCCAGACCTTCCTAGCCCAGGCCCTTCCCAAGGGTGCCGGGAGCCTGGGTCTCCACAGCGGGCCTTGGGGTGGGGGCTGCTTTCCACTCCGGATGAGGCCCAACTGCACTGTGCACGACTCCTTTCCCTCCATCCTCCCTCTCCTGCCCCTCCTCCTCCTCACGGCATTCCTTCCGGCTGGGGTCTGTGCAGGCCCCCACATGGTCCCCGTTGGGGAGCCCCCTCCCCCCAATTCTGCCTTGTTAGACAGGGAGACTTTTGTCTGGGGGCTGGATGGAGAACAAGGCTCCTTTGAGTGGCTGGTGGAGGATTGGGGTCATGGGGAGGGGCAGGGCCAGGGAAGGGGTGGCTCTGTGCTGGCCACCAGCTGGACTCCAGGCAACCCCCCACACCATCACAGGGGTGGGGAGGAGGGCTGAGGAACCGGGCCAGGAGAGGGTGCTGTTGGGAGGGTGCAGTTCAGGGCAGGGAAGAGGGGTTTGGAGGTCACGACTCTGCTGGGGGCAGGGAGAACAGACCCCCACCTTCACCCCCCATTTCTCAGCAGGGAGGGCCAGGGAGGCAGGAATGTTCACCCAGCTACATGCTTTCTTTATGTGCTTCCCTCAGGCAATTCCTCAATCCCAGGCCCTCGACAAGGACAAGGTCTCCCCCCACGCCCATTCAGGAGGGGCCAGTCCCTACATAAGGTGGAGGGGGCACTCCGGGAGGGTGGAGCTCAGTCAAAGCAGGAAATCTGGGGTGGGTGGAGATAAAACAGAGGAAGGGAAGGCCTGAGGGGGACCCCAGTCCAGCTAAGGGGTCTTTGTGTCTGGGCAGATACATCTCTTGCTCAGACAGTTCAAGATCCTAATGTCCCTGGGAAGACCCCTTCGGTGGTCTTGGGAGTGGGGTGGTATCTCCCTCTGCTGGGTAGTCTGGGAACTACAGGCATCTGAGAGAGGGGCTGAGTGCGCTGTGCCCTGTCCTTCACCTCTGCCAGAGTCTGCAAACCCAGGTGCCGAAGGGGCCAGTGCAGCAGGACAGGTGTGAGATGCTAAGGTGGCAACTCGGCAAACAGGAGACCTATTGTCCTGTCTGAAGGACAGCCACCAAAATGACCGGAGCAAGCTCACATGGACAGATGAAGAAGTACTTCCCAGGTAGCTTGCTAAGGGAGAAAAGCAAGATGTATCGAAGTATGCCACCATTTGTTAAGGGGAAAATAATTTATATGCATATTCTTGTATATGAATAAAGTATTGTTTCTTCTGGGGAGGGGGATTGGGAGGCTGCAGGATGGAGTGGAAGAGACACTCACTTATCATATATTCTGAAAATGTACCACCTTGAAAAAACAGTTTAACTTTTTAAAAATAAAAGGGCAGCCTGTACATGTTCCAGCTGATGCTACTCTATTTTCAGTAGGTATCAGAAACCTGAATCTTTATGTGGAATTTCTAATATTAAAAGTTAGATCAGGTGGTTTTTTTTTTAACTATGCAGGTCAAACAGAGCCCCTCTGAGGTTTTAGCCTGGGAAGTCCACCAACTAGAGACTTCTGCCAACTTCATTTCCTGAATCTTTAGTCACAGTGCTTTTGATTTCGGATATCTAGGCGTTATGATGCTTCTACCCAGCTCAGGCCAACCATAGCTTCCTCCCAGGGCCGGACTGGAACGTGCCACATCCAAGAGTGAGTGTGCCAGGGCCGGGGCTTATGGCTGTGAGGGGTAGGACGAGACACCTCCCTGCGGATGGGTGAAGGTGTGCACCCTGGGGCCCTGGGGAGGGTGTGCGGGGGTGTGTGCAGCCCCAGGCACCCTACTGGGGATGGGATCTCTTGTTGAGTGAATCTTCCAGGCCAATCTGACTTTAGTCATATTGAGGCAGGATAGTAAGAAGCTGGGAAATTCCTTGACAAGTGGAATAAGAGAAATAGACAAAATAACTAAACAAAGCCAAACAGTTGGAGCAATGTACAGCCAGCTAATGAGTCACAAGATTTTATCTTCCCGCCCTGGCCAGTTTGGCTCCGAGGTTAGAGCATCGGCCCATGGACCAATGAGTCATGGATTCAATTCTGGTCAAGGGCACGTACCTTGGTTGTGGTTCGTCCCTGGCCCTGGTCGGGTTGTGTGGGAGGCAACCAGTCAATGTGTCTCTCTCACATCAATGTTTCTCTCCCTCCCTCTCTCTTCTTCCCTCTCCCTCTCTCCCACTCTACCTGATGATAAACAGAAAAATATCCTCGGGTGAGGACTAAAAACAAATTTTTATCTTCCCTAACCCAGGATACTTAGGAGCAAATGGTTTACACATTCCAGACTGTCCTGGGGCAGAGCAGCCTCAGTCCCTCAGTCCCGGTCCCTCTTCAATGATGTTCTTTTTCTTTATTGATTTTTTTAGAGAGAGAGGAAGGGATAGGGAGAAAGAGAGAAACATCGATGAGAGAGAACATCGACTGGCCGCCTCCTGCATGTCCCCCCACTGGGGATCAGGCCCACAACCTGGGCATGTGTCCTGACCGGGAATCGAACCGGCGACCTCTTGGTGCATGAGTCGACGCTCAACCACTGAGCCACACCAGCCGGGCTGCCCTCTGTGCTGCTTTAATGTCATCACACATCAAGAGAAGATGGAAATGTTGGGTTTTATGATGTTATCTCTTGATTTTCAAATGCTGATAACTGACTTTTAATTTTTTTTTTTTAACACTTTGAGGACCATATGAAATACACCCAATGGCTGGATCAGGCCTGGGGCTACTGGTTTTGTTGTGAGCGGCAGAACAGCACCAGGCCTTAGACCTGGGTTCAGCGACCTCAGTACTTGAGTTCTGGCTAGGAAAGAATTCAGCGCCAATACCCAAATCATAAGTGAACATTTATTAGGAAAATCACAGAGGTAGAAGAAGTAATTTGTAGAAGAAATGGGCTTAGCAAACAAGTTATAGAGGTAAAGGAAGGGCCCTTGGAGCTTGGGAATGAGGGCAGTAAAGGTGCCACACCTGGGGGGAGGGGTGGGAGTGGGGGAGGGGTGGGAGTGGGGGAGGGGTGGGAGTCGGGGAGGGGTGGGAGCACCTGGGGGTAGGGGTGGGAGTGGGGGAGGGGTGAGAGTCGGGGAGGGGGAGGTGCTGAGTGTGCTCCGAAGAGGGAGAGTGTGCTGGGTCCTCTGTCCTAAGGGTTTTAAGGGTGGAGATTTTAGGGGAGGTCCCAGGGGAAGATCTTAATAGAATATTCATCAGCTTTCCAGCTGTGTCCTTTCAGAGTCTAGGAACCCACCGATGATTGGTCAGGGTCAGGGCCCAGGCAGTGCGTCATTATTCAATGCAGCTGGTCCTGAGGCAGCCCTGGGGTCCCTTGTGCTGCTATTCTGGGCCTGAAGCGGAAACACAACTGAGGCCTAGATGTCATCTCCAGGCAGGAAAGGCCAGGGGGTCCACACTGCGCAGACCACCCTACATGCTAAGGGAAGAAAGGTCACCCCACGATTGTCCTGTGCTAGGCACCCGGTACTTTCCACCCTAGTGACCTCCGTACCTGGCCCACAGTCCTTGCTCTGCTCCTGTCTGTCTAACTCCCTACCACAGTTTGAGACCCCATCTTGGAGACCGGGCAAGCTGGGGGAGGTTCAGCGCCCCCCGCCCCATTGTCTCTCTGTTCCAGCCTTTTTCTGTTCCTAGAACACTCCGGGTGGGTTTCTGCCTCTGCCCGGAACCCTTTTCCCACATGTCACCAGCGCTCATTCTGTTACGTCCCTCAAGTCCTGGCTCAAATGCCACCTTCTCATGGGGCCTCCCCTGACCACCCTATTTATTTATTTATTTTAAATCCTCACTCGAGGATATTTTTTGCAAATATCTTCAGATAGAGTGGCAGGGGAGAGAGAGAGAGAAACATCGATGTGAGAGAGACACACCGACTGGTTGCCTCCTGCACACACCCCTACTGGGCCGGGGATCAAACCTGCAACCCAGGTGTGTGTCCTTGACCAGGAACAAACCTGTGACCCTTTGATGTGCCGGCCAACAGTCTAACCATTGAGCTGTTATAAGACAATGAAAAACTAGGAAAACTCTGGGACAAGTAGAATAAGGAAACTGAGGCAGGAAATGTAAACAAAGCCAAAAAGCTTTGTAGGTCACTTGTAAGGTCTATCTTGAGAACAAAGGGTTAAAACCTCTTCTCACAAAAGAATGAAGTGGAGGAGGGGGAAGGGCAGGGGAGGGGAGGAGGAGGAGGAATCAGAGACCACTTAATGCAAATCATTCTGAAGTTGTTAGAACAGCAGGCAGGAGGGGAAGAAGAGCATAAACAAAATAGCCAGCAGTCAGGGATTGAATTGCCAGGTACCTCCCATAAATTTGGGAAGGCCA